TCAAGCAGTTGTCCCTTGGACTCTGCGGTCACGCACCAACACTAATCCATCTTCCTTTTCAGGCCCCTCAAGAAACAACCTTCCACGGTGTGGGCAGCCGGGAAGTGATAACCGCCCTCATACCCGCAACAGCACACGAGACAAAATTGGCCAAAATCAAATCCTTCCTACATTCCCTAATACCTCTCTTATCTCCACAACTAACTCTTCTCACATTCATTTATTACAGTGCACAGCTAATGCAAACGATGCGAGTTTGCGAAACGTCGTTCCTGGTCTCCTTAAACCCCGTTCCAAACTACATGTTGGAGCATTCAATGTACGGACATTGTGTCAAATAGGGCAACAGGCATCATTAGCTAGGACTTTAGAATCTCGTGCCATCGATGTGTGCTGCGTCTCGGAAACGCGCATACAGGATCCGAGTAGCATCACTCATTTGACCTCACCATGTCAAGATAAAGAAGCAGCTCGATTTACCCTTCGTGTATCCGGTAGCCCTGATGCTGCTTCTAGGGGCCTCGCCGGTGTAGGTATAGCATTGAGTCGTAGGGCAGAACAATCTCTCCTTGACTGGATCCCTGTAGATAGTCGCTTGTGCGCCGTCCGACTCAACGGGACAGTAAGGACTCGGAAAGATAGGGACACTCGCCGTTGCCTCTTCGTCATATCAGCCTACGCCCCCACTGACTGCAGCCCAGATGATGTAAAAGATGAGTTTTACAGAAAGCTTTCGGACCTCCTCCAAAAAGTTAAGCGCTCTGATATAGTAATAATGGCTGGTGACTTCAATGCACAAGTAGGTAGACTAAGTGAAAATGAAAGACACCTAGGTGGATGTTACGGTCTCGCGGCTCAAAGAACAGACAATGGCGACCGTCTGTTGCAACTGTGCTCAGATAACCAACTATTTCTAGCAAACACTAATTTTAAGCATAAGGAAAAACACCTTTTGACCTGGCGACCCCCGAAGTCGTCTCAACGTTGGACACAACTAGATCATATCGCCATCAGCCACCGATGGAGGGGTTCGATAGAGGACTGTCGCTCGTTCTGGGGCACATGTTTAGATTCAGATCATGCCCTAGTGCGAGCACGTATTTGTTTGAGGCTTGCTGGACGTAGGAAAGACACCGTAAGGAAGCCTCTTAGGGCTTTACTTGATGATAATCAAGCTAAGAAAATATTTCAGGAGGAACTAGAAAAACAGTTAGGCGACCATGCAAGTGATTCCCATCCTGAAGCAGGTTGGAATCATATCAAGAAGGCTGTGGAAACAGCAATGGTATCTGCTAGCAAGGTAAACCACAAGGCTAGGATGAAGCAGTGGATTTCAGTTGCATCCACCGGACTGATGGATGCTCGAAAACGCATCCCACCTGACTCTGAACATGATGAAGAGCGTAGTCAGCTTAGGCGCAGACTTATAAAAAGCCTACGTAACGACCGTGAACAGTGGTGGGTGGCGAAAGCAAAAGCGATGGAAAAGGCAGCGGCGATAGGCAACACTAGACAACTTTTCCGCCTTATCAAAGAAACCGGTATTAGGAACCCGAATGTGAGTGAGACTATCTCGGAAAAGGATGGTCTTATTATCCATTCTCAATCTAGGAGGCTGGACCGATGGGCAGAACACTTTAGGGATCAGTTCAACTGGCCTTCAGCTACTCTTCGGTTGCCCACGATCTCCAGTCATCCTGAATGGCAAATCGATTTAAGTCCTCCCAGTTTACATGAAGTTGAGAAAGCTATAGGAAATCTAAGGAGAGGTAGAGCGGCAGGTCCCGATAGGCTTACCCCTGAGATGTTTAAGGATGGTGGTCCAGTTTTAACGGTTAAACTGACCGAGATCCTAGGTAGAATCTGGGAAATGGACGTAATCCCATCTGACTGGTCTCAGTCGCTAATTGTCCCAATCTACAAGAAAGGACAGAAGTCCTCTTGTGACAATCACAGGGGAATAAGTTTAACTAATATAGTTTCTAAATTGTTAGCCTCGATTATACTTAGACGTCTAACTAGAGCTCGCGAAGAGCAGACTCGAGAAAACCAGTCTGGTTTTCGACCTGGACGTGGTTGTATAGACCACATCTTCACACTACGACAGGTCCTGGAACACAGACACACATTTAGACGTCCGACAATAGTCGTGTTCCTGGACCTTAAGGCGGCATTCGACTCTGTGGATCGTGAGGTTCTGTGGCAGTGTCTGTCATTGAAAGGTGTACCAAAGAAGTACATTAACCTTATACAAGCACTCTACTCGAACACCACTGGTCGGGTGAGAGCATATGGCGAACTGTCATCTGAATTCTCTACATCAAGTGGTGTCCGTCAGGGCTGTCCACTCTCTCCATTCTTGTTCAACTTTGTCGTAGACATCCTCTTAGAGTTAACATTAAGCTCGTCAGATTTTTCAGGGGTTGACCTTCTACCAGGAAAGTCGCTTAATGATCTAGAATATGCCGATGACATAGTTCTATTCGGTGAAGACGCTGACAAAATGCAGAGTCTTCTGACTACCCTAAGCAACAATGCGAGCATGTTCGGGATGCGGTTTTCCCCCTCGAAATGCAAAATGTTGCTTCAAGACTGGGTTGCTTCGGCACCTGAACTAGTGATAGGGAGTGAAGTAGTCGAGCGTGTAGATCACTTCACTTATCTGGGGAGTCTCATCAGTGCTGACGGTCTGGTGACTGACGAAATCTCAGCTCGGATACAGAAAGCTCGATTGGCCTTTGCCAACCTGCGTCACTTATGGCGTAGGCGTGATATCCGTTCGCTAACCAAAGGACGGGTGTACTGCGCAGCAGTTCGTTCCGTTCTCTTATATGGCTGTGAAACATGGCCGTTAAGAGTAGAAGATGTTCGTAGGTTACTAGTATTCGATCATAGATGTTTAAGAAGCATTGCTCGTATATCGTGGGACAGCCGAGTAAGCAATGCTGTCGTTAGGAAACGAGTACTAGGTAAGGATGGCAGATCAATCGATGAAGTGGTGAAACTTCATCAGTTGAGGTGGTTGGGACATGTGTTACGTATGCCTAACCACCGACTGCCTCGACGAGCTATGTTTTGTGGTGTAGGAGTAGGTTGGAAGAAAGCTAGGGGCGGCCAGACCAAAACATGGCAGAAATCCATGAAGTCACTGACAAGTGGACTGAGTCATGTTGGTAGATGTAGACTACCTGGTTGGGGTCCGCGAGACGAAAGTCATCAATGGTTAGAGACCTTGGACGACATGGCTCAAAATCGTTTGCAATGGCGCAGGTGCATCCACTCTTTGAGCTCTCTCAAATCCTAATCTTCTGGATTCGTCAATGCCTCTGCCTTTGTCTTTATAATCTTATCTCACTGAGTTATATTTTTTGAATAATATCTTAAACCCTAGTCTTCTTTATTATAACATTAATACCTCTACCATCTTTATCACTATGGGACTTGATTTGACATTTGCGTCTCTGTGCTAATAATGTGGTATGGCAACATGAACTTATGTACATACGTACGAAGTTCTACGTTGCAACTGACTGACATTCTCTTTAACAAGATTTAGGATTTAGTACCTACAGACTGGAAACAAGGATACCTGATCCAATTACCAAAGAAAGGTGATCTCAGTAAGTGAGAGAACTACAGAGGAATCACTCTTCTCTCAATACTAGGCAAGCTCTTCAACAGACTGTTGTTAGACAGAATGAACGACTTTGTAGATGCCAAATTTCGAGATCGACAGGCTGGATTCCGTAAGTATCGATCATGTACCCATCCAGTTGCAACATTACGGAACATTACAGAACAATCAATTGAATTGATTTCACCACTCTAAAGCAAGGCATTTGACACAGTGGACAGGACAACACTATCGATACTTTTACGACGCTACGGCATGCCTGAGAAGACAGTCAACATCATACGGAATTATTACGATGGATTAAACTGCGAAATCGTGCACGGAGGACTGCTCACACTCACTCGAGGTGAAGACCGGAGTCAGGAAAGGTTGCTTACTCTCACTCTTTCTGTTTCTCCTGGTGATCGACTGGATTATGAAAACGTCAACATCTGGAGGGAAGCACAGGATACAGTGGACAACCAGGGTGCAGCTGGACGATCTGGACTTCGCAGATGACCTGGCTCTTCTATTGCATACACAACAACAAACGCAAGGGAAGACGACCAGTGTAGCAGCAGCAGTGGGTCTAAACATACAAAAAATGGAAAAGCAAGATTCTTCGAAACAACACAACATGCGCCAAACAAATCACTCTTAATGGAGATATCTTGGAGGACGTCTAAACCTTTACATATCTGGGCAGCATCATTGACAAGCAAGATGGATCTAATGTAGATGTGAAGGCGCGAATCGGCAAGGCTATGACAGCAGTCCTACAACTGAAAAACATCTGGGACTCAAAGTAACCATCAACAAACACTAAAGTGAATAAAGATGTCAAGACAGTTCTACTGTATGAGGCGTAGAATTGGAGAACCACTAATTACATCAACCAAAAAAATACAAGTATTTATTAACAGTTGTCTATGCAAAATACTTAGGATCCGTTGGAAAGACACCATCAGCAACAACTTACTGTGGGAAAGAACAAACCAGATTCCACCGGAGGAGGAAATCAGGGAAGAAGCGGTGGAAGTGGATAGGACACACACTACGAAAAGCACCTAACTGCGTCACAAGACAAGCCCTCACATGGAACCCTCAAGGCAAAAGGAAAAGAGGAAGGCCAAAGAACACATTAAGCTGAGAAATACAGTCAGACATTAGAAGAACGAAAAAAAAATGGATAGAACTAAAAAGGGAGGCTCAGAAAAGAGTAGGTTAGATAATACTGGTCGGCGGCCAATGGGCAACAGGTATAAGTAGGTAATTGATAATTTATCTGAGCTTATGATACGATTGAATAACATAAAGTTATGAGTATCAGATAGTTGTTGAATGCGAATTCGAATAAATTTACGCACACTAAAATACTTAGGATTAAATCAAATTAATTTTAAACGTTTTCTTTGTTAAATTATTTGATGATTAATTATTATTATAGAAGGAAACTAAAGAAGTATGGACAAAAAGTAATAAGTACGAACGTTCTTTTAGACATACACGAGAATTTATTTTTGAAAAAATCTTGATGAATGTTTACATAATTTACTGTGATCAGAAAACTATAAAAAATAAGTGTTTGGAAATTGTAAAATTGTTTAACTAACTTGAAATTTGAGATCCGGATTGGATTGGATTGGTTCCACTAGAGGCAGGATTTAGAGAAGTAGATAAATGAACTACATTCGACAGAATGGGATTTGTCACATTCACAACAGATGATTTAGGCTGAGAAGGAGGAAGGTTCTGTGTTTGAGGTAGAGTAACGGTTAATGTAGTAGTTGGAAGAGTTAAAGCTGATGGGCCAGATTGTGAGGGTATATTCTCAATCTTAAAAAAAAAGAATAAAATAACGAACAATATGGAGTGAGTAAACCTGATTACATAGAGAAAAAAAATCACCCTAGTATTCAACAAAATATAGCAGTATTTCCTTTTGATATAACCAAACCGGTAAGATGTCATGTCACATGAATAATCTATTTTGTAGAATAAACAAAACACGTCATATATGTCATGGTTACATTGAGAGAAGTGGTTAATTAGGTGATAGTTTAATTTAAACATTGACACACATTTGCATATATACTAACAATAAGAATTTGTTTTATCGTTATACAATGTGATCCTATACAACAATCCAGAATAAAAACAATTCTCACTATCAATAGCATATTATAAATTCTAATATATATGATGCTTTAGTGTTGGGATTATAATTTAACAATTTCACACAATGTACTATATTTCTACTAGAATTTCTGAGTATCAAAGGAATCGCCAAAAAAAAAATAAGTTTCAGCCACGAATAGAAAAAAAATTGCTAATTGGAAAATTCACCATAATCATGATCAAATATCTGGCTATAATCAGAAAGGAAAACAATGAACACATATTCAATAAATATCGTAAATGAAAGCATACAATTTAGGCTAATCAGAGCGGTAAGAAGAATACTGTCTTGATTGGAAATGAATAATAATAATAATAATAATAATAATAATAATGACTGTCTGAACTACGAAATGAATAATTAGGATGCATTGTTCTGCACTTGTACAGATAAACACTATCAAATCACCTACTCACTTTATATACATGATAGATGAATATCCTTTTCTATAGCATTACTGTATCCACTGTTCTACATACCGAAAGTGAAAATAATTGAAGTGTGTATAAGTAAAAAAAATTCAGACTTCATGTTAGTGCTATATATAATATATACATGCATAATTTTCGTCAGTTCACTATTACAGAAGATTAAGCCGAGTAATGTCACTTGGATACTGGTCAATGACTTTCATGAAACTAGTACCTTTCCTTCCTTTTATCTTAGATATTTCAATAAGACAGTAATTATTAAAAAAGGATAATTCTTTTGTAGTCAATATCAAAGAATGAGAGTTGAAAATAATTAGAGAAGCAGTTCAGTCAAAAATAACGCAACCAGGAATAATCTTTTCAACCAAGAATGTAAGTAAATTACATCAACACCGCGACTGACTTCTATTCTGAGCGATAACTAATTAAGTGTCAAGCCAATGTAGAATATTGTGATATATCCTAGGCAAGTACTGCATTCTTTCATATCACAGTATCATGTAATAAACTAACTCGCTGCTTTGTCCAACAAGTCTCAAAGTCAGAAAATAATTTTAAATTCTTTGAGACGACATTCATAATTTAGAGATAATGACAACCATCGAATTTTTGTCACCGTACTTGAATACAAGTTCCCGAACCTCGGCATTACTGACATAGTGTTACCACTGAATTTTATAAATCCAACAGAGACAACGATGATCAGACACAGAGAGTTATTTAACATTCTCAACTCAAAGGCAAGGCACCACAAACAGAGGAAAACTGTTCTCGCCGACGCATTGTAAATGCACCCTTTACAGACACACTACTATCACGAATGAACCAAAGATTGCCTAGATTGATATAAGCTACACTGGCTTTCAATATACTTAAATTAATGTCATCATCAGCTCCACCATCAGTATTGATCCCCCGATAAAGATTGCATAGGAAACCTAAACCCTTTCTAAACATAAGGACAACTATCGTTTGATTTCAACCAAAGGCTGCAGGTATGTTATATGAGCCTGTTGATTGTGATGTTTCAGAAGCTGGAGTTTTTAACGGTATTCCTCTTCGTCAGGTACGTCAATCGTCACCAGCTATGGAGTACAGGACAGTCTAATCGGTGTCGCCGGGGGAGGAAATCAGTTGGACTGTTCCTCGAAAACTTCAACCGATCGTCCCAGACAAAGGTAGCTGTTATTGATTGGTGTTTTGTAAGCTTCACAGATTGCTTCACTCACAACGGACGTTTGACTACGGATTGCTTGGTTTAGTTCAAATTTCTTTTGACAATTACCAAAGTTAGCTACCGGTTTTAACTTATTAGCACGCTCCGATCACAAGACTTTTTGGTCCTGAAGCAAAGTCTTCATAATTCTTCTACGTGAGAATTGTTTGATAAAGAATAATCTAAACTTAGTAAAGGTAAGAGAGCAAGATAAGAGAAATTCTATGAAAGAAGAGCGTGGAGAAAATGTAAAAGAGATCAAAGTAAAATTTTCTTTCACGAAGAAAGTATGCGACCTTTATCACATATAATATATAATTAGATTTTATACGAAATGCTCTATTAGAAAATATGTATACTGTGAAAAGAACTACAGTTACATAAATATGCTTTCTGAAATAAAAGAAACCAATATCTATAATGAATGATCACTAGACTAACAATAGAGAAAATGAAATTTGCACAACATGGAATACAAAGTTGATCTAAATACTACTAAATTCTACTAACATGTTGTTTATCCAACTTAAACGATCTATTGAAACAATTGATTTGGATAGTAATAATAATAATAATAATAATAATAATAATAATAATAATAATAATAATAATAATAATAATGGTAATTGTTTAATCATGTTAGAACCACGACATGATACGATTACAGATTGGTAAATAACTACTGAATTTGTAATCACACTCTAACTAACATTATGGTCATGGAAGCCAACAAAAGTTATCGAATAATAAAAATATTTCCGAAAAACTAAGTAGCCTTGAAAAAAATTCACTGATTTTTGTAACCATGAACAGATACAATTGTTATTGTACGACTTACCAATCAAAAGCTTACAACTATTTCGCTGATCAATATGGGCACATCCAGTATAAAGTTTACATTTGAATTATAAAATACATAAATCAAATTTGTATGTAGAGTAAAAAACTACCTGAGCTGAAAGTTCAATAACTGGTTCAATACGCACGAACACTAATAACTGGAAACTAAGTCAATAAAAGCTACAAAGTTAATATTTTCAAATTGAGTTACACAGAACCTAAGCAAGTGATCACATGGAAAAAATAACCAAACATAGATTCTAATTATGATGACAAGATTGTAGGAAGAAAAAAAAAAGTGAGACCTGTTATCAAAAACTAAACTATTAATTTAGTAACTATTTCAAGAATTCCTGAAACACTTTTATATGCAAAATGTATAAGCAGTACATCCCAACATCATATCAGCCTATACATATTGATTACATAAACAAAAGCAAACTAAACAAGCAAGATATTTTAAGAGAATTGCCTTGTTTAATGATGGAACATTTGAAGCGGTTTTGACATTTGTCAATGGTCCAATAGGCAGAGATTGATTTATATTAGGTCCTACACTGACATTTGTAACTGGTGCATTAGGCAAAACTTGATTCATATTTGTCCCACTAATTGCCATTGATGCATGTCCTAGTGATTCGTTTGCTGAATGCACTCCAACTACTGATGCAGCATACGCACGCTGTTGTCTAGGTGGTCTTGGAGGAGTGGCTTGATGTAACTGGTTTGGTCCAGACATTTGAGGAATCGTAGAAGGTCCTGGGTCATCATCTTCCAGATTTGCAGGAGCTACCTGAATTTAAAATAAAAATGGAACTTTATATTATTAACTTAATAAAAGAGGCATTCATTTATCCAAACGCTTGTGAAAATAACGAATGATTAGACTAACATAATCACTGTAACAGATTCATTAGACAGTTGACCAACTTTTACATTCACAGCCTGTCCAATAAACTTGACAAACTATAGACTATGACAATCCTAATAGTCTTTGAAGTACCTCTCGTTCATTACAACATACTTGACTTATTCCCATTCAGGTTGTTGAAAAAATTCTTAGAAATTCTCAGAAGTCAGAAACCTGAAACGCAAAATCGTTTCATGATTTTTGCAGACAATTTTCTAAACTTCAATGTTTACCTTGATTCGCGTGAACCGACGATCTTTTCAAAAATCACCAATAATGAGTTTGGGATTAGAAAGTAAAAGAGAAAGCACGCGTTCAAGGCTTTTAACAATGCAGGAAATCAATTGATTGTTTTGAACTTGAACTATCGTAATAAATTACGCTTTTCACCTGAACTCTTGATCCGGTCGAAATAGACTCCTTTAATTACAATCAGTTATCTTGATAGGCAGCCTTTAACAAATCATAAAGTACTTTAGTTTTCATAAAACTTTTAAGACAAAAAAAATATAATAACATACTGTGAATTTGTTAGCGACAGTCGTTGCTGAAGCAGTCATCGACTTTGTTGAACTGATACTTAGTTGCTCAGTTGGTAGACTAGTAAGAGGATACTCGACTTTGTTTATTTCTTTAGTCATATTAAAAGGTAATACTACATGATCACGTGTTGAACTGGAATTTACAGCAGTACAAATTGGATTAGGCACCGAGGCATTAGGAAGGACATTGGGAGATGTAACAATAAACCGATTCAAAGAAGCGAAATTCGAATGAGAAGGGATAGGTAATTTAGAACTGCTGGATGCAGGGTGAATATTTAAAATCTGATTAGTATTATTATTTACGGCTGCACAAGTTGATGATACAACATTTGTACCTGTGCAATTGAATGATAATTCTTGCGGTGATGGCTGCAAGGGTTGATTTTGGACATGTTGTTGTTGTTGTAAAAGAGTGATTAATTTATTTTGAACATCTAAAGGAAGAAAACCAGCCTAAAGAAAGAAAAGCAGATAATTTTCAGTTAAAAATAAAGGCCCCGAAGATAAGATGTTGGCTTACTAAGAAAAAGGATTGAGAATACAATGAATTAACATAAATAAATAATAAATATAGTCAGTAAAGAAATATACTGTTTGTTGATTGAATAACTTTAGATAGATTCGATAATATTTCAGTAAATCAGACAAATTCTACTTTTAATTAATAAAATATCTAACTAATTAGAGTCATATTTAGAAGAAAATAAGTCAACAACACATTACAATTTACAGATGAACATTAGGTCACTGATCAATAAATAAAAATAGTAAGGATTTGATAATGCTTTTGTAAGCAAAAATTTTTAAAAGAATGCCTATAATTAAATAAAAAGAAAATACAATTTACTAATTGTGCAATCTAAGATAATGCATGGCGACAGTTGAGAGTAAAACAAATTCACATATAAATACATAAATACTACTCTGTATTAGTAAAATAGGCTGTTTCCTCCAATGATAATAATGATTGAATTGTCGAAATGAAATCAAGAAAGTATAAAAAAACGTAATTCGTTGATTACTGTTCAAATGAATATGGATTGGGAAATTATAACGGAAAATTGTCCTAGTTGTGTATAGTTTAGATTAGGTATATTAGAAATTATAGAAATAGTAGGCATACTAAAAACAAAAGATCTTACTTAGTCCATGATCAATAATTGTTGTTTATAATTGCCGCAAGAATAAGATTCAGATTCAAAGAAAAATCAAGCAAAATAATATAAGTTGTATTATTTATTCTATTTGATAAATACACTTGAACAGAGAAAATAAAAATAAAAAGGTTTCCAAAATAAAGTGAATTTACTATAGTTCACAATTTCTCATCATCAGCTGCATGTAACTGAAATAATTATAATTTTGATATCATGATTTACAAATCTTTGGTATACTTTAATCATTCTTCTTTTAATATTTATCCTTTACACAAATTTGTTTATTTGATCATGTTGTGCGATTAGTCAATTTACTTATTAATTTTATTACTGTTACACAATCACCTTTATCTTGATTATAACATCGATTTTACTTTGCATAATTACTGTTCACAATATAGATGATAAACATCGATTTTAAATATGTTTATTTATACATTTTTTTATATCGGTCTATTCTTTTTATTTTTTCTAGTTACGTTTCGAATATTTATCTAGAATTTCACAAACTGAAGTATGCTAAAGATTTGTAAATAATTATATCAAGAATTTTAATTTTAGGTGGCATGCAGCTGATGAGAAACTGTGAAATATGATGAATTCCGTTTATTCTGCAAACTTTGTTTTTTTTTTACTCGGCTGAAATTCACCAAGGGATCTGGTTGTATGATAAACATATATATAACCGTAGCCGGAAAATATTTTTTTCGATACTATGAGTATAGGGAATGATTGATTATCTTAGTCGCTTTTAAAAAGAAATTTAAAAATTTCTAGACTAATCATTGTTTATTAAATAAGAATTTTATTCAACATTATTATTTGTTGAGTAGTTTAAATACAAAGTAAGGTAAATGAACTCTATTCCTACACAGTTCAAATAACTTACCAATCCAATGTACACAGATTGTAGTGTTTTGAAATATTTTTTTAAAATTCTAATAATAATAACTAATTCATAAATCGGCAATGAAAACAAATAAAGCTATGAATCTAAAGCATCATGGATATTTTATAAATGGGTCAGCCAAATGACCTATATTGATCATTTTACATAATATTATCAGTCGATCAAAACACAGTTAATTTATTAAATAAACATTAGCATTTCTTGATTTTTAAAACACAATTTTGATGCACAGAAAAAATAAGTGGTACATTATCTTCAAATGGATTATAATCTTTCATTTATGCGGTTAGTGATAAGCAAGGACATCCGTGAAGATCTCAAAGAATTGCGACTGAAATAAACTTGTCGGAGCAAACTGATATTGCGATGAACAGACAAATAACAATTTATATATATATATATATATATATATATATATATATAAACTAACTAGTACTTACACTATTACTGTCAGACGTTTGTTGAAGCAAGCGTACAGCATTTGCTAACTCGGGTAAAATTTGACTCAGATACGAATGAGCAGCAGGTAAAGATAGCTGTTGTTGATTTCTATCTCTGATTGGCAAAGGAGCAGATAATTTTGGCGTGACATTTGATGAATGTTGTGGCTGTTGCCACTGAGATTGTTGTAAATTATGTTGAAACTGTTGGTGCCCAGAAACAGGTTGTGTGATATGAGGTTGATTAGACGACTGATGAAGAGTCTGAGACTGCTGTTGTTGTGATGTTTGCAGTGTCTGGGACTGAGAACCTAGTTGTTGTAATGGAATCTGAGAAGCTTGTTGTTGGTGTACTTGATGTGTTTGCATTTGTGAATTAACAGTAGATGACTGTTGTTGTTGTTGTGTCTGAAGTGATGGTATCTGAGATAACATTTGAGAAGCTTGTTGCTGTTGTATTTGTGTTGGTTGTGTTGACGGTTGCAGTTGATTTACTTGCTGAATTTGTCCGGACATATGAGAAAGCTGCTGCTGTGATTGGTTCTGAGTAGAAGGTATTGATGTATGAGATTGCTGTACGACGTGTGGTTGAGTTTGAGACGATTGTTGTGAACTTGTGATTTGAGATGGTTGCGCTTGAGACTGAACTTGAGTCGGCTGCTGATGTGTTGGTATTTGGATCAATTGTTGTTGATTAGGCTGTTGAGATTGTTGGGGCGTGAGAATTCCACCACCCTGGACTGATGGCGGTTTTACTGTAGACTGTATATTCAAACCCTCTTGATTTTCTACATTGGATCCAGCTGATGAAAGATTACTTTGTGCGAATGAGGGATGCATTTGAATACCTTGAGGTTTATTAGAGTCATTAACATTAGGCCATTCAGGGTTGGCAGATGCAGAGGATAGCAAACGACCCAACAAATCAGGCAGGGAGTTCACACCAGCAGCACATGCTGCTGAATTCGATACAGGATATGCTACGCTATTAAAGCGTTGAAACATATGGTTTGTTTGAGACTGGGTTGAAGAAATCGTTGCAGATTGTGTTGATACTGGAGGAGAAACCTGTCTAGAATGTCGAACTACGCCGACACTTGGAGCTGTACCAACAGCTCCCGCATTTGTAGATGACTTAGGAAGTGCATTAACAGTTTGATTCGAAGTCTTCAGAAGATTCGAAAGTAACTGAGGTACCTGAAGTAATAAATGAAAAAACAGTTATTTGAACTTATTACACCATAGTAGATGAAAAGAATTTTTGGGTCGAAAACGTTTTTACAAACGTGAAAACGAAATACACTTTATTCAAGTTTGAACAGACTAACTATTGACTTCAGCTTACTGTGGTAGTTGTAAACGAAGTTTGGTTAAAATGATTAAAAATGACGAAATTATGATCGTAACCATTAGAAAATACATAATTTCATTCCAAACTCTTATGTATTCAGCAGTTTGAAAATAATATCCCATTGTTCATAATGTGTACATAACAGTAAAGTCAATACAATATCAGTTAATACAATACATTCCTAGGTGTAAATATCAACTTCGGAGTTTACTCTACATGATTCAGTGAAACAATAGTTCATGCGATAAATCGTCAGGCGAAATACGATATAATCATTTTATTCGAAAATGATATTACATGACCAACGGCAACTATGGAATTTCATTTCATCACATTTCACCACTGCATTCTGGATATATTCTTTGGGACGAAGAACAAACTGAATGGACCACTCGCCAACGAATCATTAATTTGATATCAAAATGTTTGAGTAATGCATAAAAGGATTGTAGAGATTGCAGTATTTTCACAGTTCAAATCACGAACTAATCAAGGTTAGACAACCATTGAAAATTAGGAAGCACTGGACGGACGTTTCACCCTGGTAGAGAACTAATCAACAGTGGGTATTCATCACCCCTCACCTGTGAGTCGAACCGAGGGCCTTCAGTCGAGCGCTGACACGCTTATCTTCTCAAGCACTAAGCCCAGAACCAATGGTGTACCAGTTTAACTGCAACCAATCAATATATGTCTTATTCCAAGTCTTAAGAATCAATATTTTGTACAAATATGATTGCACAAAAACATCACTCTATGTTTTCAAATACCTTTTCTTTTTAAAAGTCATGCTACATCATAAAAAAACTACACAGATATTTACAATGTTAAGTTCGGAAAATAAGTCAGCTCATACCTGGTCTAAGTTTTGGAGAGTGTTGAGGGCTGATAATAATTGGATGAGTTGTTGTGTATTTGGTTGCATTGTTGTTTGTTGTTGTGATTCTTTTGGTTGTCCAGACGTTGACTGAGTTTGAGAATGTGACTGTGGATATAAAACAGAATGTTGTTGCTGGTGTTGTTGTGCTTTTTGCTGATGTTGAGATTGTAAACTGGGGAAACAGGATTGATTGCCTTGATTTTGACTATTTGCTAACATTTGATTATGCAATAATTTTGTCGGAAATGATTGTTGCTGTGAAAAATTATTTGAGAGTGGTAAAGATAGTTGGTTTTGAGCAACGATAGATTGAACTGACTGCATATTATCTGCCGACATATTTGACTGATTTATGTAAGCAGTACCAGATTTTATAGAAGAATTAGGAAGTGATTGCAGAGAGAATGGTTGGTTCACAGATTGAATAAGTGATTGAATTTGATTAAGCAGGGAAGGTCGTGAATGAACAACATTAGAACAAACTGTGCCTGGTACTTGGTTGATTGGTTGCTGACCAATAGAAACAGGGAGTGAAAACTGGGGAGCTGGATTTAATCCAGACTGAAGTGGACTTTGCACTTGTTGCTGATTCGCCATATTTAATGACAGCTGGTTAGGATTAATTCCAGATGTAGGGATAGCCTGCATTTGGGTTGGGTAGTAATTAGGCGCAGCAGGGAGTATTGTAGTAGCGGCGGATGATCGGCGACTTAGACACTCAGGTCCTGGGTTACCATCAAATGACAAAGTCTTTGGTTCTATCCCAACATTTTCCCCATCAGTAGTCGTACCAACAACGTTTGAGTGATAAGACTGCATAGTACCATGTGGTGCATCACGTAGCGCCAATAAAAGAGCAAGAACATCATCAAAGCTCAGTGCATCAATATCTGAAGGAATAGGCAACTTTCGGACATACACGGATGATATGACTGGATGTGTGCCCGACTCGTGAACAGGAGAGCTTGCCGGACTGACAGAATGAGAATGCTCCGTTGAACAGACCGGAACAACAAGAGCAGCTTTGTCTAACAACTGAATGTTTCCCGTGTGAGTTAAAACAAGAGCTGAGTCTTGTGGAACCCTGTAAATGTGCGGTCCTGAAAGACTATCATCAAAATTAGTATCAGATGCGAGAACAAAGAGTTTTTCTGAATTACTCTCGACAGCTGTCAAAAGAGTGCTGTGTAAACAGGTACCAGAGGGCATGCGTCGATTGCCAGGAATACCAACAAACATGTGTCCATCAGGTATATCAACTACTCGCACACCAGAACAATGATAAAATGATGAGATTTCATTAGATTCCATGGTTGGTATCAGTACGCAAGCATGAGAAGGGTTCGAACATAAGTTAGAAACCAAAACCCTCAAAGTAGTCTCGAGATAGGCAGGAATAGTGACAGTAACATTTACCAATTCCTCCGGAGTGAAAGAAACAGAAGAATTATATCCAACTCCGCCCTGATTACATACAGATGTATGATTCAAATTTGTCATATTGTGTAAAGGATGAGTACTGTATGACTGATGAGCCACATTATCTGGTTGAGAAACGACAATTGGATCACGAGCTGTTGACTCATTGCAAGACGTTGATCTTGAAATCCCAGTAAACGCGGTGCCTGATTGCTCAGAAAGTCGTGAAACAAGCGGAGGAACTTCTTCTAAACCAGCTTGGCAATTAAATAGGTTAACGACTCCATTTTCCAAACAACTGACAGGGACAGATGAAATATCATTTACATAGTTTAAACTCATTGGTAACAAAGACTGTTGAATGGAATTAATGTTTGAAATATCAGATGCAGAAATGTATTCAGGAATATGGCCAAGATCACCCCTAATCTTACTGTTACTAACCACTGATTCCGAAGTAGGCAAACCTATAGCAGAAGAAGAAGAAGCAGTGTAATACATCGTACACTGAGGCATTATATTATTTTTAGGTTTGTTGATTAATTCGACGTTACTGGCTGCAGGAAGAAAAGGATAATTTATTTGTTGATTTATATTATCGACCGGAGAGATTGGTCTAGAATTTTCACTGAATTCGTCTTCATCATCGAGATCTAAAGACAGATATTAACAAAAAAACAGGTATATATGTAAATAAAAATGTGGATTTATAAAACAATACACATCAATTCAATTAATACGCATTATGGACTAAACTCCTGACCCTAGCTGCTACCTTGACGTGGTGGTCGGGCTTGCCTACGGTCATAACCCAACTGAGCTACATTGACTGGAACATATGTTCCTGTAGGTCCTACCATGCCAGGCACGTCGATCGGAGAATTATGAGACTAAAAGCAGCAACTCAAGGTTTGACGGTGAAGTCGTACTGCTCATTGTAGAGCGGTGTGACAGCAGTAAGGTGCATCCCTTAGACAACCAGCATCTGCAGCCATGCTGCCTTTGCACAATAGAAGGAAGGAGTTAGAAAAGGTTGACCCTAAATTTGTCACACTTCACCTTACCACACGGATTTCCATCTCCGACGGTAAGGGCATTTGAAGAGCGGAGCTAACACTTTCAAAACTTCACATGAAAAGGTGGTCTCTGACCGGCCTCAATCAGTTGTCCCTTGGGCTCTGTTATCATGCTCACAGGTTTCTAAGACCAACACTAATCGAACTGCTTTTTCAGATTCTTCAAGAAATATACTTCCACAATGTGGGCAGCAGGAAAATGACATCCATCTTCATACCCGTAACAACACACGAAACCAAACTAGTCAGAATCAAATCCTGATCGACTAAACTGTTGGCTTGCGATTCAAAAAACACTAAAACTTACAATTAAGATTAAATCTTTTGTTAATAAAACAACTCAACCAAAGCATGCACTAATCAGAACAATGCCGACAAATAAAATCAACATTTATTCATTATACTGAAATATAGATAGACTATGATGAGTATACCTTCTTGAGAAGTGAGAAATTTAAAAAGTGATAAGGAAATTATAATAACCGATGGGCATGGTATGGTAAAATTAAGATGGCTATTGGAAACAGTTTTCAACTTGGGAATAATTTAATACAACGCTTTAACTAACTTTTAGAATCTAATGGTTGAATTTCTTCAAAATTGGAAATAAAATTTGGATTATCATACGGAAGTGTTGATGTGTACGGTGAAGTATTATCTGTATTCTGAAACCCACTGCTACTGAATTGATTAGTTGAATTACAGTTGGTAGGTATATTAGATTGAAATAATGATGTATTCGATATAGTATTAGGTAGACGATTTATCTGATCAAATCCTACGGTAGATGGTTGAGGATAGAAAATATAATCTTGGTTTAACTTTACAGAATGAACGTCATTACGCAGAGCCTCCAGTAAGCTCATAACTCCTTCTTTAGCAGCGCGATCAATATCCTTATTAGCAGGAGTATAATCAGATCCTTGGAACTATAAAAGTTAAATGTTTAAATAAAAGAATTTTTACCACAAGACTTTAAAATATCAGTAATCTTAGTGTAGTAACAAAATATATGAACATCTCACTAAATATCTGAGTTGTTAGTGTATTAAATTATATAATTGTTATAGCAAAAAATAATAATACATTTTTACAATCTGAACATAAATATAGTAGCCGTTACATGGAAAATTTCTAAATCCTGCTGTTACTTATATCTCCATTACTTATGTTTATCGTATGTCGAAATCTTAATTTTAGTAGATATTATTATTGTCTTATGTGCAAAAAAACCAATTCAAGTGATTTAAAGTAGCATATATATATATATATATATATATATAAATGATAATGAAATACTGCAGGCATTGCTAAGATAAATCGTGTAATAACTGCGAGAAAAAATAACAATACACTGTAAATCTAGTGGAGTTTTAATGTAATGGCAATCACCATTGTATGTTCAGTTACCTCTCATGCATACCAAGAAAATAAAAATCATTCGTTTTAACAAATGTCTAAAAATTGGATCAATTTTAATAATATGTTTTTTTAAGGATCAATATTCACTTCGTCAATACACGAACTAGGGACACAGCAAAAAATTAACAGTTTTTAGATCACAAATGGTAATATGAACACTTCGTTTACTTCAATTGGTGATAGAACAGTATACAAAAGTAAAGCTTCCAAGTAAATCCGATATTTTAAACCTTAGCATCAACAATTGAGACCGTACAGTGTTACACTATTGTACGTAGTTGTTCGACATTTCTACAGAACTATATGAAAATACATGTGATCCAAGCATATGCATATAGATTAGCACCTTATTCGGTATTTAAAAAGTTTATACTGAATACATTCGATGGTAAACGCTTTTTTGAGATTATAAAACTACAAGTTATTAGCACAGCAGGTTTCTGTTAACTGTTCAGTATGTAATTTACATCATGAACTGAATCTAGGTTAAAAAAAAAGCATGAAGTTGTGGTCAACTGTCTCCTAGTATATTAAAAAAAACTAAGTAGTATCTTCACCCACAACGAAATAATTGTACAATAAACCCGAATTTAAAATAACTGTTAAGTTGAAGCCAGTCAGTTATATTAGCAACAAATTCTCATTATCATTACTATTTGTACAGAAAAATTTCAACGATTAAAAGTTATTTCAAATTCTCATAGCTCTTTATAAATCACGTAGCAAATGTCACTTTTCACCATTGGCTTGAACAACAACGATTTTTTACTCTACAAAATCAAATTTTTACCACCAATAATAAAATATGTCAACATTTATTCCTCATTATCGAAAAAAGAAAAACATTTGAAAAACTATTGAATATTCAGTCTAAGAGTGAATAGAAATTCATCATCTACAAATGGAGCATGAAAAATCAAACAATTTATTTGAAAGAATAAAATTGATTCATTAGGAAAACCTAATGACTAACAATGAAATAATAGTATGAAATTAAAATGAGTGGATTATGTGCAAAACTTTACAAATAGGATGTACAAATAATGAAGTTAACATTTTAAATGAAAAGAAATTTAAAAAACAACAACAACAACAACAACAACAATGAAAATACACAAGAAACATACCAATTTTATGTCTTCTAGTGTATCAGATAAATTACAACGAAAAGTTATTTTCCATAATTCATTATTTGGATTATTCATATCTGGCATTTCTAAATAAAATGTTGGTCTTAAATTGCCAGGTTCACAACTTTCAGTATCTCGTTCAATCTTAGTAACACGTAAAATATATCTTGGTTTCGATTGAGATTTTCTTCTTGCTTTACGTTCCATTGGCTACAAAAATAATAATTGACATTGAGAGAAAATAAGTGTTGAATTAGGATATCATTTAGAATTAATATTAGAAAATTGAATACAAAAGTACATACATACATACATACATACATACAGATTATTAAAGAGATTCTATGATTCAAATTAAGTTGAATGAAGGAATACGAGAATATTGAAAGCGAAAACTGATCGGCAACTATAAACAAGCAAACATTTTGCATTACTACAATAATGACATTGATCACATTGAGACAAATTTCAATAAGTGCAGAAGAATTACATTGAAGATATCCTACTGCATAGATGGAAAATAAATAAAGCCAGTGAAAAATTGAACGATGAACCGTTTTCTACGTGAACATTTTAATTAATATTGGTTTATTTTAATTAACGAAGCCAATGAGACTAAACACACAATTTTACAAAAAAATAACAAGGGAAATTTAATGAAACTTTTGTAAACTATCAGTGAGATAAACAAGACCGTCATATGAAACGCTTTGACGGATAGTTTAAAAAGTCTACAACCAAGTTACAGTAGTCCACAACTCGGGCGCATTGTGAAATGCTATTGATATTGATATACGAAACACTAACAAAGTTTAGTGAAATATGACAAGCATTGGGGAATCATGTATACAAGTTTAAATGTTTTCTGTAAGACCTTTGTAATGAAAAAGAAATCACTAATTGAGAACATACTTTAAAATCAATCAATGCGCTACAGTCTCTTGAATTTCAAATGTCATAATTGGGTTCATTTATTCAACTCTAATGATTCATTTCGTTCATGCTTAGTGCTGATATATTATATAGGTCAATGCTGATTCTTATTCTTTTTGTTTTGTCTGAAGTGTAGACTGTGCTCAAACTAATTTTCTATTTTGAAATATCTTTATGATCTGTTTACATGAACAATTACTTTGTTTAAGAAATCAATTGTTTTCAAAAGATTTAAAATGATGGAATACAATTACGAGCATCTCAACTCTAGAAGACAAATAAAACCACTAGCTTCAGTACATGTCCAGTAAACAAATTTACGTTTGATGGGTTAAAATGAATAACTATTTTTGATTTCAATTATCTAGTACACGACCATTTACATAAGGCAGCGTATTGTGACCAAATCGGTCACACTCAAATCCCATCGTAAAGGAAAACCTTTGTGTAAAAGCTTATATTGGTGGTGCTAAACAGATTGACGTCTTTTTTTAGTTTAGAAAGAAAGATTAGATTAACCTGAAATAAAAAGATTGAATATCCAATACATAAATTGCAAACAGATTAACACATAAGCACAAAAGTTACCATCTATGCATAAATCACTGAGTTTTCAACAAGCGATTGATTTAAAGTTTATCTACAACACAATCACCTGAACAATACTGAAGCATCAGTTTATTGAATGAATCAAAACTTCGAATAAATCAACATTAGTGGAATAACAGTCAGTGCCATAATGAAGAGAAACTATGAACGGTTACTAACATACACTTGTTGTCGAGACTTATAAACACAGATAATGTAATGATATTCTAGCTACGATACAAACATGTATTTTACCTTTTATAGGCAGTAGTCACGAATTTTCAAAACCATCAAAACTTTAGTGATACTACTTAGTATGAATTTAAAATAGTACTATTTCGGTATTAATATTGAGAAGCTAGCACGGAATATACATTCAGAATTCTAACGATTGGATCTGTTTTAGAGATATTACAGATAATATTTTGTGACAGAGTTAGGCAATAAAACTTAGGAATTAGTAAAGAGTAGAAAAAAAATACTAGATAAGTATTGAATAGATAAATTAATCATCCACAGATACATAATGAAGAAAACCCTGTAACAGCATTGTAGAAATATAAAAGAATAAAATAGAATAGATATAGTGATACACGAAACAGTTACAATATATTTATCAAGAAGCTTTAATTAATTCGAAATGAAAGAAAATTGAAGCAACATAGTTACTGATTACATAATCTGGGTCAAATATAAGATAAGATTATTCAAGAGCTCAGAACAGTTTTGCACATGATACTGGTCTGACACAGATAGTTATCTTTTTATTTTACTAAGTCATAGATGTCTAGAATTTATAGTCATATTAGAAGTAGAAAGTAGCTGCTGATGACACGAAATGCAATGTTGCTACACATTTCCAACTTTGAATAACCTCACGTATATATTCATACATGTATCATTAAGAAATAGATTATGGAATGAACGTCTTTATGAACTTTGTAAACAGATCAAGTAACTAACATAACAATACTGATTAATTATGAACCTGTTTGTAGAACGTGTTTTAAAACCTAATCTCATAGGTAGAAATGCTTTGATCTTGCCTAATAAGATGAATGAATACATATCTGAAATACATTACTATTAAGTGTGAAACACTGGAAAAAGTGACTAAATAATTAAGAATCAGTCTAAAATGAAGATATATTGAGATATATATTAGGCATTTAAAATCACTCAAGAAACAATACACTGAAAGTTTTGTAGTTTACATAATGGAATTACTTCAACTAAACAATCATTGAAAACTGGGAATTACTGGACAAATGTTTTATCCTAGCATAGAATAAGTGATTCCGCTTGAGACTGAACCCAGTACGTTCATGCTTTGGGATGAGTATGATATGTTTAGACCATTTAGTTCCCATTCAATGATTCATACAAACTGAAAACTCACTTTAACTATAGGTGCTACGTTTTCCAGCTGATTTTGTTGTTGTGTTGAATTTTGCCTAGATACATAGTTCGATAGGGCTGCTTGATTACTCAATACTGGTTGTTGTGATTGTTGAGAGTCGTTGTACAAAGCATTCACTGAAGATATTTGAGTATTTCCATTTAATAATAATCCTTGAGCAGCAGCACTATTCATAATAACTTCTGTAAGTTGGTTAATCAATGAAGCATGCTCTGAATTAACCAGAGAATGAGATTGCTAGAAAAATTATTTTTAAATAAAACATAACAAAATAAACACTTTCTGAACTAGAACAGGATTTAATGAATAAAATGATCAACCACAAAAATAGGTTTTACGTGAAACTATTTAGATCCTTAAAAATAGCTGAAAAACTTACTAATTCGTAATTTGTTTTGTACAATATAGATTAAATGTCTTTGTTCTTATTGCTGTTAAAAAACAAATTATTCAATGCTTAATAAGTAATTGACGTTTCAGTAAACCATTTCCTTCGCCTTAATTCTAAGAAGGCTGTAAATCATGTTACACGTTATAATTGTAAATCTGCTCAATATTATTTGTGCGTTTTATAAATTTCTACTGTCGAAAATGAACCTATTTATCTTCAGTAAATATTATCTGTATTTTTTTATTTTTCAAGACTGGTCAAATTGGGAATATTCGTTGTTCTGTTTTTTTAATTAACTGATGTAAATATATGATGATAATGATTAATGATAATGTATTTTGGGTAGACATTTTAGGAAAGTTCTTCAATATAAACAAAATAAAAATGAAAAATATTTATTGAGGTAGACAGACTACTTACATCAGTCTTTTGGAGATTATCAGATTCTGACTGAACGAAATTCTCACCTATGGAGACAAAATGATAATAACACAGTGTTGAATGTCATCCATCACATAATAAAATCAAACAAACCATAAACAAGTGAACCAAAAAAAAATAGAATTATTGAATGATAAGCGTCAAATGTCATTCAATGTAGTAATATGTGGTAAATATAGAATCACATTGTACTTGTATGGGGGCTAGTGATATCCAGTCGACAGATTGTTTAATCCGCATTACTTTGTAAACAGTAGAATCAATGAATGAAAATAAAACTGCTTGTGCAACACTGCACCTACGTTCTGTGTATATGATAAATAGTAAAGGTATTAATGTGTCATATTTCTATAAATAAGAATCAAGATAAAAACTAATTTAAAACGTTATAATTTAGTTTGCCTTATTTTCAAGAACATAATTTGTAACTAAGGAAAGCATAATGAGGACAAAATGGAGTAGTAATTTGACCTCATACAACAAAATTTTAGCAGTATATAAGATTACAATAATTGAAGTTAACTGTATTATGGAAATATACATCATGAAAATCCTAAGAAATAAACAGATTATCTTCGATAGAAAAAACGGATTATGTCAATCTACTTGGTATTGAAAAACCAGACAGTCTGCTAAAGCCAGCGACAAGGTAGAACTTCTTACGTACGAGCATCAGCTCATGTTGCCGTACCACATTAGCAAAGAGATGCAATTGTCAATTCAAATCCCATAGTAGTAGAGGTAGTAGAAGTATTAGCGATAATGGAGAAGATTAGGGTTCGAAGATATTATTCAAGAAGTAGAATCTAGTGAAATACACTTTCAAAAAAAATAATAAAGGTGATGAGGAATCCAGAAGATTTAAGACAAGACAAAGAGTGCATGCGCCTGCACTATTGCAAACGATTTCGAGCCATGTCATTCTAGGTCTTACTATTGTCTTGTGGACCCCAACCAGATAGTCTACACCGACTAACACAGCTTAGTTCAGTCGTCAGTGACTTCACCGATTTGTACCATGTTTTGGTCTAGCCAGCCCCAGCTTTCCTCCAGCCTACCTCTACATTACAAAACACCGCTCGTCGAGGCAGTTGGTGGTCAAGCATTCGTAACACATGTCCCAACCACCTCAACTCATGAAGATTCACTTATTCGTCTACTGATCTGCCATCCCTACCTAGTACCCGATTCCTAACAACAGCACTGCTTACTCGATTGTCCAAGAATTTACGAGCATCCGTGCTGAGGTTTCATAGACAATCAGGTCTGATAAGACTTTCAAAATAAGTGAAGCAGTCAACACGTTCAACTGCTTCACTCCCTATCACTAGTTCAGGTGCCGATACGACCCAATCTTGAAGCAACATTTTGCATTTCGAGGGGGAAAACCGCATCCCGAACATACTTGCATTGTTGCTTAGGGTAGTCAGAAAACTGCATTTTGTCAGCGTCTTCACCGAGTAGAACTGTCATTAGCATACTTTCCGTCAACAAGTGAATCTCCTGGTAAAAATTCAACTCCTAAAAAGTCAGATGAAGGTATTGTATCTAAAAACACATCAATGATAAATTTGAAGAAAAATGGAGAAAGTGGGCACCTTGACGAACACCACAGTTCGCCATAAGCTCTCAATCAACCTGTAGTCTTCGAGTAGAGGACCTCTTTAAGGTTAGTGTAGTTCTTTGGTACAACTTTCAGTGACAGATAATGCTACAAAACCTCACGGTCATCAGAGTCAGATGCCGCCTCAAGGTCTAGAAATACTACTATTATGGGACGTCTGGATGTGTGTCTGTATTCCAAGACCTGATGTAATGTGAATCGACGGCCTATGCAGCCACATCCAGGTCACAAACCAGCCTGGTTTTCTAGAGTGTGCTTTTCAGGATCTCTGTTTAGGCGTCCAAGTATCGCTGAGGCTATTATTTCGGACACTATTAGTTAAACTGACTCCTCTGTGTTTATCACAGAACTTTTGTCCTTTCTTACAGACTGCGGCAACCAAGAATTGAGACTGGTCAGATGACATGACGTCCAGTTCCTAGATACTAGCTTAGATCTTAGTCAATATAACTGCTAAAACTGGACCCCCATCCTTGAAAACCTCGAAGGGTTAATCTACCAAGATCTGCGTCGTTGACTCGCCTTAGATGGTCTATAATCTTGCAACCTAATTAGGTGTCAGAAGACTTACACTAACTTGCTATTCACATTGACTGCAGACAGTGGGTAACTGAAGTGTGGTTGAAGGGCCAATCGAACTGTTAACTGAAATGTTCTGCCCATCGATCCAGTCGCCTGGACTGAGTGAATAATAGCCAAATCCTTTTCCAAGACAGTTTCACTTACGGTCGGATTCCTGACACCGGTTTCCTTGATAAGTCAGAATAGCTATCTACTGTTGCTCATCGCTGCTTCTTTTTCCATCTCTCTCGCTTTCTCTACCCACCACTGTTCGCGATCATTGGGTAGGCTTCTAGTCAGTCTGTGCTTAAGATGACTACACTCTTCGGTATGTTCAATGCCACATAGGATGAGTTTCTTAGTACTTATAAATTCATCAGGTGCTACTGAGATCCACTGCTTTTCCCTGACCTTACGGTTTACCTTACAAGCAGAAATCATTGCTGTTTCCATAGCTTTCTGGACATCGTTCCGAGCTGCCTCGGGGTGAGCATCACTTACTACATGGCTTCCTATCTGTTTTTCTCTAGCTGATCTAGAAATATACTCTCGGTTTTGCTACCGTTAAGCAGAACTTTTGGGGATTTCTTTCTTGTCTAACTTATGTCCAGTAAGACGCAGACAAATACGCGCTCATAAAATCATGATCTGAATATAAACAAGTGCTCCAGAATGAGCGGAAGTCTTCAGTGGAGCCTATTCATCGGTGGCTGATAGTAATGGGGTTAAGTAGGGTTCATCGTTAGGTTGATTTTGAAGGTCGCCATGTTAAGAGATGTTGTTCCTTATGCTTAAATTCAGTATTTGCTAATAATAGGCGATTGTCTAATTATAGTTGAGCAGATGGTCGCTATTATCTGTTGTTTCAGCCTTGACACCATAAAATCTACCCAGGTGTCTTCTAGTATTGCTTAGTCCAGCGATTTCAGTATTGAAGTCGCCCACTACTATAGCTACATCAGAGTGCCTAACTTTTTGAAGGAGGTTAGAAAGCTTTCAGTAAAATTCATCTTTTACCCGCACCCGAGCTGCAATCGATGGGAGCGTAGGCAGAGGTAACAAAGAGATAACGGCGAGCGTTCCTATCTTTCAGAGAACTTACTGTCCCATTTAGTCGGACAGCTATTAAGTGACTATCTACTGAGATCCAGTATAATAGAGCAAGTTCAGCCCTAAAACTCAGTGCACCACCAACGCCAGCGAGGACACGGGGAACAATAGTGGGGCTTCTAGACATACGAAGTGTAAATCCAGACGGCTCTCTATGTTAACAAGTAGATCAAATGAATGAAGCTACTCAGATTCCGTAAGCGCGCAGCGTACATCGATGGCATGAGATTCTGGAGTTCTAGCTAGGCAAGACTGTTGACCTATTTGGCACAACATTCGAACATTTAAAGTTTGAACATGTAGTTTAGAGTAAGGTTGCAGGAGATAAGGAATAACGTTTTGTGAAATCGAATCGTTTTCATCAGTGACACTAGGTGACAAATGTACGAAAGAAGGATTGATTGTGAAGATAGTTATGAGGAAGTGTTGGGACGAGTTGAATGTGTCTAATCCGCTCTTCAAATGCCCTCACCGTCGGAGATGGAAATCCATGTGGTAAGGTGAAGTGTGACAATTTTAGGATCAACCTTTTCTAACTCCTTCCTTCTATTGTGCAAAGGCAGCATGGCTGCAGATGCTGGTTGTCTAAGGGATGCACCTTACTGCTGTCACACCGCTCTACAATGAGCAGTACGACTTCACCGTCAGACCTTGAGTTGCTGCTTTTAGTCTCATAATTCTCCAATCAACGTGTCTGGCGTGGTAGGACCTACAGGAACATATGTTCCAGTCAATGTAGCTCAGTTGGGTTATGACCGTAGGCAAGCCCGACCACCACGTTAAGGTAGCAGCTACGGTCGGGCGAAATCTGGAAAAAAACGACTATATTACAGGAAAGTAATAAACTATTACTGCGAGAAACTATCTATTTGTAGTTTCTGGTGAAACTTTAAAATTGTGAAAAAAGTGAACATACACATTATGACATAAAAATGTGTGATTTAAACCACAGAGCAAACTAGAATGAGGCAGTTCTAAACTAGAAGTTTAGAGGGAAAAACGAATACATACATCCGCGTCTTTGTTGACGACTTGGAGCATTCACTTAAGGTCCACACCTGTGAACTATGTCATCAGGTGAATGAAAAAAAACAGAGGTTTCTAGCTCTTGAGATAACTTAGCGGTGCACTCAATAATCCATTCATTGATCTTATATTTTGAACTTGGCTCTTTGAGAATTTTTTTAATCTGTACATTTGTTAGACCGGTATTATACCACGTAAAAAATGACTCCATAAAACAAGCCCTAACGTTATACAATACATGTAGCTATGAGGACAAAAGTAATGAAAGCAGGCAACGTAAACAGTGTCATAACAGATCTTGACTATGAATGCAATTGGTTAAATAACATGTTAATATGAAGAAAAGTATTTACTTTTTATCCAAAAATAAAGTGATACAAAAAAAAATATAATTCATAAATTATAAGCTTAAAACTACTGCCAGTTGATAAATTCATTATTTATAAATCGTGTAAACCGGATGATATAAACTTGTGCAAGGAAAAAACGAACACTGTCAACATAAAGTACTTACAAATCAATACAATAATAATTGTTCAAAACATGTGAACAGATTGAAAGATTACATAAAAAGAAAACCGAAATTCCAATCGAATAAAAGAAAGAAACAGAAAAATAAACAAGTCCTGTAAACAAGTAAAAGTAGTACAAATCAAGTGACCAAAATGGTAAATAATAAACAAAAGATTTGAAAGCTGAAAGGCGATCGATTCACTATATACACATGAGGGTTAAACACTAAGCGTATATCAGTCTGGACGAAAACCAGCCGACATAACAAGCATACAAAGAAAAAAACTGTTTGAGAGTTTTTTTCCTCAAATTAAAGAGAATAAGTTTCTATTCAGCCTTTTTATGCCAATGTTATGAAGTGACGCTTAGTTTCAGTCCACTTATATTTAGTTTTTTTAGCGAAGCAGAAAAATATCTGCTGCTATATCAGATCTAAAAGAAAAGTTGCATGACGATGACTACGGATAGAAATAATTATTTTTTTTAATTTTACTAGTGCGTTTCGTTTCTCCTTCAGCTATAAGTAGTTTATAAATTTATCATCTTGAATAGTATGTGTAAACAAAACATGTAAATGATCTTATACACTGGTAAGTTTTACACATATACTTGAATGTAATAATAATAACAATTCATACCTTAATAAACTGGATATACTGAACTGTAATACTAACCCCAGCATTGGTCACAACGGTACAGATACATGCACTCTTAATCTTACAGTCAGTCAGTCAGTCTGCAGACCTGCCGAGGCTACTGCCGGTCACAAGCCCGGAAAAAGGAGGAGGGTTGCGATTGTGGTTGGCGACCCCCATCCCGCAAAAAACTAACTCGCTAAAAAACGCTAACCAGAAAAAATAATTCAAACCATTTAAACTCTGCTCTGGGAGTTAGAAGGTCTTCATTCAGAAGAGTTATGACACCTCATGATAAAAACAAAGTTTGGTCGGAAGTCACGAGGTCGATGACTCTCCTGACAACCAGAGCCAGGGTGGGCAGCCGGAAAGGAACATCCGCCCTCACACTCCTAGAAGCACACGAGGCCAAATAAAATCCTTTCTAAACCTCTTAATCTTACTCTAGATCTTGAATTCATTCATACATATCTATTTCATTTTCTTTTGAAACCATAATTTACCTATTATCATTCTTTCTCATTATAATCGCCAATACAATATTTCGACTCCTTTACTACTCATGTTGCTAATTGCAACTCATCTTAATGTGATGTGGTAAGTTGGACCATGCATATTTCTGTATCGCTATGTTGACGTTGACTGATTGGAAATGGAACCAGTTTATAATTCGTAACATCCGATTCTCATTTAATTTAATAATATAAAACTTACTAGCTGATATATTCGGTCATAAAGCACAGTGTTTGTGTAAGGTCTAATGATACAACCTAACCGAAGAAGATAGAGATGGATTTGGAACATATATTTATAAAGTCTCTGAAATTTTGTGTTCTTACGTAACGCACTAAGTAAGAACAAAATATTCCATTTCGAAAACATCCAAAATACAAATTGACACAACTGATGAACAGAGCTTATCAAAATCACAAAATTCAATAATGAGATCACAATTGAACCTTACTTTGATTAACTCCTAAACTGTGCGGTATTGTTTGTAAACCTGTACCGATATCATTCACATTTGATGTTCCAACTTGGGATTGAAATTGGTGATTTGGTATGAAAGACGAATGATGCAATTGTTGCGTCATTGATTGATTATCATTCAACATGGGATATGCAAAAACTGAATTCACATGACATTGATTTTCTCCTTCCTAAACGAAAAGAAAAATTCAACAATAAAAAGCACTCGATTTTAGGATTTAAAAGAAAATATATAGGCTAACTAATGTCCTTAATTCGTGTATAAAGCCATAATTTATGTAAGGCGGTCACATGAACGAGAACCAAGTAAAAGGCGAAAATCAAACTGATCGATACAAATATTTTAGAGGATTGACAGGTAGAAGGATGAAGATGCTAAAATAACTGAGAATTTACTACGATATACATGCATTTTTAACATTCATTTCTGGCACACACACAAGCACAAAATCAATATGAAGTTAACTCATAGTTTTAAGATAGAGAAACCATGACATTTAATACATTTGGAATTTTTTACACTTCAATAAATCCTACAAATATCTAAATCTAGATATCAACGACGGAACGCACATTCAAGTAAAAGCATTCGGTTTTACAGCAACTTGCACAGTATTAGTCTAAATCACTCAGTTTTCTGGTAATATCTTAAACATGAAATACTACATTTGTTTATTGAGACTGCGTAGTGATGTAAACACGTAGAGAAGATGTAGTTACTTCTGTAATAAAGACACTGTCGAAGGCGAAAACGCACAACGATGAGAAAAAATGAGATTGATATTGGAATGAAACACAAACCACTAAGATAAAAAGAACAAATCAGACCTACAAACTTCTTATACAACTTTACTGAGAGATGAAGTATTGACAGATTCGCTGAAGTTGTCACCAAAACTTGTTCTGGTGGCGGAAGAAACAACCACCATTAAATGATAATTAGTAAGGATATAGCGATTCCATCTCTAAGTATACTAACGGCTGTTAAAGTATTTTTATTGCAATAAGTAACAAAAAGAGTTGGATAAGATACAGAAACAGAAGAAACAACAAAAAGATAAAAATGGCTTCAATTATACCGAAAAACACTATAATATAAATCTATCTATAACTTACTACTTGCGAACTCAAAAAAGACTCAGTTATGGGAATAGGTGGATTGGCCAAAGAAGTTGATGTGATCCCTTGAAGTACTTGTTGTAGTATCATTGCAGAACGAGCTATAGTATCCAAATTATTTAAATGAGTAGAATCTACATCGGATTTTAACAGTGGTGATGAAACTGGAACGAGACCGGGTGGCTGTGTTTGAGGAGTGACTGTAGATGGAACAGGCTGTTGTGACTGAAATGGTAGTGGAGGCTTTTGGTTAAATATCTGCTGCGAAGACGAGCCACCAGCTAGTGAAGTAGTAGATAACTGTGAAGATATGTTTGACGTACTGACTGTAGGCTTTTGGTCAGACACCGGGCGACGAGAACATAAGTTTATGTCAGTTTGCAAAGAAATAGGTGCTGTATACAATGAAGTTGAACCATTTGAAGATGGAGATATAGGGATATCCGAAGAATTCTGAATTTCAACACTTTGTTGAGGCAGTATAGGCGTTGGAATTGGAGTTGGTCCTGGCCCATTAACGAATAATGGCGGAAGAACACCAGGAGTAGCTGGAGCAGCTGTAGCACTGGGTGGAATTGTAACAGTAAATTTACCAATAGACGTCAAACCAGTTCCTGTGGAGGAAACTTGATGAGAACTATCAAGATTTGAATGACAGCTATCAACTGGTTCTGACATGATTTTGCTCGGAGGGACTATAGATACCTGTTCAGAAGTTCCAAGACCACTTGCGCTGACAAGATTATGCGTCGTATCTACATTTGGTTGAGACAGCGCTACAGCAGGAAACGGAATGGTAGAAGTAACTGATGACACTGATGTAGTTCCAACAGCAGTAACTGCGCTACATGTAACATTTGAAGAACCGGCAGAAGAAACAGTTACTGTAGAATTTCTATAAGCTTGTATTTCTTTCTCTAATAACTTTTTAGCTCTATTCCATTTGCTCTTATACTTCCCAATGATAGTGAAGCTGCTTGTATCATCTGTACATTATCATATAGAGAGATCAAAAAAACGTAAGTGTTTAAAATGTAATGTCACATTAAATAAATATCAACTAATTCTAATTCCACAGGCTTACAGAATTAATCAAGGACAATATTTAACTAAACTGAGTTAGAAGCTGCAATGCTTTATAAAACATTTACAAAGATGATGATGAGAAACTCATACAATGGGGAGATAAGCTATTCTATCAATCATTTAAAATGACGCTTACTAGACATTACAGAAAGTCAAAACATTATTCTCAAAAATGTGCGGACAGGATAAAAAGAATTACTAATTCCTTATGGGAAATTCATTGCAACAATGAAAACTTGTAGTTCAAGTGAGTGTTTTTAATAAAAACTACGTTATTTCAGTGCGATGGTTAAGGTGTAGGGCTTTCCTTGAGGTTTTGAAAAAATTATCAACATATTACAAACAGAAAGGATCTTACAACTATTCAACAAATGCGCAATTAATCCATTCTAATGACTTGGTTTGTTTTGTTATCATTAGGTCTTTGCATTCACATGAACTATGATAGTATACAAATTCACTCTCAGAAAAAAAATGACATGAAATTGAACATCTATATCTACTTAAAAGATGCGCGTTAAATATCACACAAAATATAGAATTTTCAATCAAGTACACAACTTAGTAGCCATTAAGATATTTGTATGCTTTTAGTAAGACTGGAACTTGCGATTGAGGTCTTGGATAGATATTCGATCACTTAAACCAAAATGAACGGAATAGAGAAAGTGGTTGAACATTTGAGAACGAAAGTCAACAATAATAAGTTACAATTCTACTTACTCAATAGATAGGTATATTACTTTATATCTAGTAACTAAATATCAAACACTTAATTCTTAATTGATAAATAGATAATTCAGCAATTCGGATTCATGAGATATGTAAATTAGTAGATTCCCATTTTTTTAAAAACACTTTATCCTTGATTACTTACATGCATCTGTATCACTTTCATCATCTTCATCAACAGCAGAAGCACCTTCCTGTTTTTTACGTACAGGTTGGTCTTGAACAAGTGAATCTAGAATAGCTTTCCAACGTTTACCTAGTAAGACTTTGACCAGAAATTGCATTTGTAATCTTATACTACTGAAAAGTTTGTCTAAATGATTGGAGACGATCTTTTTATCAGGTTGCTTCGGATTTTCAAACACACGCCATAGTTTATCTTCATATCCAAGTCTCTGCAAATTGTAAAAAGGTCCCTCCCCTTCGCCCCTCTTTCCCTTGCCGTCCCCATCCCCCTGTCTTCTTTCTCGCCGAGCCGGCTCTGTCCCCCCCCCCTCGGTGCACGTCGCGCCCCCGCCCGGCTCACCCCTGACCCACCCCCGCCTTTCTGTCCTTCCTCCGCCGTCTCCCCGACTTCCCCTCACGGTCTTTTCCCCACTGCGCCCTCTTCCCTTCCCCAGCCTCGCCCCCGCGGCGCCCCGTTAGCCGCACCGTCAGTTGCGCCCCCCTCCCTTTTTCTCGCTCTCCCCCCGCCCGGTATCGCCCCTCCCCTCCCCCTTTCCGTTTTGTCCTCCTCTTCTTACTCTCCCCTCCCTCGCCTCGCCCTCTTTCCCCGCCCGCCCCCCGCTCTTCTTCGGCCCCCCTTTCTCTGGCCCGCCTTTCCCCTCCCCCGTCCGGCCCTAGCCTCCCGGCCTACCCGCCTCCCCTCCTCCGACCCCGGCCCCAGTCAGCCTACTTCCTCCGCCATTGACCGCCTCGTTTCCCCACCACACACCTGAGCGCTGGCCCGCCCTTCACACGAAAACCTATACCCCTATAGCCACTTCCCTGCTGCAACCAAATAACTTCAATACTTATTTCGATAGACTAATTTGAGCTTTGCAAATAGGATCAAGATTATCAAATGTAAAGGTCGCAAAAGAATTATGAATTAAACGATTTCTATAAATAAAATTAGATGTAACATCTATATTATATACATATATATTTATGCATGAATTTCACTGAGTAGTTTCATCAAAGAAAATATACGCATTGATATCCAAATGGTTACCAAAAGAGAAGGCTCTAGACAGCAAATGGTGATAGATTATCAACCAACTGAAAGAAAACCTGAGCTTATGCACAGAAAGTTTATTCTAAGTAAGAATTAACTAACAAAATGTTCTTCCTAAATAATACATGAAAACAATCATAATAATTTTTTATGATACCAAAAAAAACGATAAACTACAACCAGTTAACCTGGAACCTTTCTCAAGGTTCTACAATTGTAATTATACTGAGATTTTGTCACACATCAGGCCATCAGCACTGATGAGACTCCCAATATAAGTGAAGTGGTCAGCACGCTCAACTACTTCACTCACTCCCTATCATAAGTTCAGAATGGACACTATAGGACCTAAAATGATCTGAAGAGAAATAGCAACAAGGTGAAAAAGAGAAAGAAAAATTCCTTATAAAATGAAGGACAAATTTGAACATACTACAACAACTAATCAAATTCCTCGGTTTCAATCAAATTAGAAATAACTCAGAAAGTTATGATTATATATATATATATATATAAAACAACCTTAATCCTTCATGATTAGTCGGATGATTTTGACAAGCATCATTCACCAACCTACACGGAAAATAACCTAAATATCAATAAGATTTCAACGAATTTGCAGTCATTTGTATCAGAACGTGAGCACAAAACTGTTAGAAAGATAAGAATAAATTGAGAGGTAGACAGAAAATCCAAAGTAAAACAAAAGAGATTCATATATAACACAGTTTAGAATCAATACAGCATTATAAAAAACTTGAACATGTAGCAACATAGACGGGTAGATAAATTTTGTGATATATATATATATATATATATATATAGAGAGAGAGAGAGAGACAGAGAAACAATGCACTTCATGTTAAACTATTGAAATTCAATGGAGAATTGGTTTTATAGATTGGATTCATGAAAAAACGTGGTTATCTAAGAAGCAAAATAATATGCGTTTTATGGATTGTAAAAAATATGAAATCACTAACCAAATTGTGAATTAGATCTGGAATATCTTGATCCTCAGCTTTATAAATATCGAGATCGAACTCTAGCGATTCACCATCATCCAATCCTAACTCTTGTAACATCTTTTTATCACGAAATCTTAGCCGCAAATTGAAATTTGGGTTACGTGTTTCTGGATTCCCTAGGGAACGTACAAAACGGTCCAGGACCTCTGCACGATCTGTGGCATTATCATAGTTCGGTTCGACTTCCACAGGTAATGTTTTCGGCTACAAAAGTACAAAATTACTGTCTTTGTTAAATGAAATGCGCTAGACGCATCGAATACAGAAAAAAATTGCAATACACGTTAATTACAGTGCGAGTGTTTAAGCATATAAACAGAGAGTTGAACGAAAAACGTTATAAATATATAGTCCCCGACACTGATTGGAACTAAATTAAATATAACCGACTCGTGAGATGATTTCTCGTAATAAACCAGTGTTCATTAGAAAATTGTTATGAGACAGTACCCAGGTATGAGGAAAATGGACAGAAATTTTAATGCATCAACTGTGAAATAGGTTGAAGGGGAAAAATAAATTCAGGTATGAAGGGATTTGCAAACTACGTTTTGTTTTAACTATAACTCAACTTATTCAGTCGGAACTATGAAAATTTTTTAAAGACTAACTGATAGATTTTGCATTTTAAATTTGAAAAATCGATAATCGACAAACTAACAACCAATTTAATCACAAACAGCAAAGTCTTCCTCAATTACATTGAATTTTACTAAAACGTAATCATATAACCGATTCCTCTTAACGAAAACGAAGTTGACATTAGCCTTCTTAAAACTATCCATACAGTGTGGTACATTAACAGAGATGCAACTACTAAAAACATGTAAATTGGATTTAGGGAAGTAAGTTATTAAATCAAGCATGAAATAAGTAATCTAGAAACAAACTCATAAATCAAATTTTCATGTAAAGTATTACTTACTAGTAAGAATATGATAATTAAATGCATTACCAAGATTTTCAATCGGATCATGTGAACTAAATTATTGATGATTGAGTTTGTTGCTTCAACCTACACTAAGGGAGTATATTGATCCGTATTAGTTTGCTGACAAATGTAGAAGAAATACCTTAGATTCTACTGCTGCCTTGCATCATAATATTATGTTCGGCCTAGAAATGGGTGACGAATAAGTTCGATGCGCATTTCTAGACTAAACTCCTACCTCTGAATCTGTACCAAGACCACAACTACTAAACAAGCTTGCCAGTTTCAAAACCGACAGATGCATAACCAACTGGCTTTGTTCATATTTCACTGGCAAAATCGATGTTTCTAGTCTCTGCAGCAAGGCTTCTGCGATAAGTTCTGATGTTGGTCTTCCTTTCGTTTGTTCGCAGATTTAATGTTGAGTTGGAAATACGTGTTTAAGCGTAAATCGATGAGCTCTGGTAGATTTTGACTCTGAAGTTTCATGTCATTGGTGAAGAGCGGGTATTTAGTTTCTTTAGCTAAGCTTGGTTCATATACGCTTCTGTCCTCAAGTAATTCCTCGGCTTTCCTGATATATTCATCTTTGTCCGCTAAAACTATGGAAACATCATACCTTTTTTCGAGTTTCCTGAAGGCTTTTCGTTTTCATACCGTTATTTGGTTGGTGGCTCTCTTCCGTCAAGTGAGTGGTACTATGGTTTGTCTCATATTCCTGTTGATTTTCTTCATTTATTCGGGCCGTTTTGAGTGATGACTCTAGTGCTGCGAAAAATTCGAGTTTCAAAGCGTCGCTTGTGCAGTAGTTTAATCCTTTTTAGAAGTGTCTTTCTGTTGTCGTTAGATGCTTTTTTGACAGGTTGATCACACAGTTGTTTGCGTTTTATCTGTGGGTAGCTTTGAAATCTTTGAAATCCAATGGATGTTATCCCGAGATTCTAAGGTTTGCCAGAGTTAATAGAAGTGACCGGTCGTACGTGCAGAGAATCGGATACTTTAATTCTATCTGAAGTTTGTGCCGATGATGTTTTTCAGAAGAACAATGAAAGCTCGATAAACAAAACATCAAGCTCAGAGAACGAAACTCCATTACAATCAATCACCTGAGCTACAAATTTTCGCCACAATCTCATTGTTCAACGTCTTTATTGAGGCGAGAAGTTGTGTCGCAAGCTTTTCATTTGGTTTACACGCACTTGGCATTCCACGACATTTTTATCCTTTGTAAACTTGCCTAATACCTACCATCCTTTACTGTTTCCCATTCTTCTTTCCAGGGATTTTGAGAAAAGATTTTGCCGGGTTGCGAAGAATACTGAAGGTGGTTAGCGGAAATTGTGGTGAATTTTTTTTGTACTCATTTTGAATATGGTGGCGCACAGACATTTAAAAGCTTGTAAACTCCTGTCAAGTGTTATCTCATCTAAATACCATTATATCCTGTTAGAACAAGACGCCGATACAATAGGAATCCACGCACGCAAATAAAGGTAAAGATCTAGGATACCTTATTTAACAAATATACTGTACAACAAACATGTGGTAAGAACTGACCTAGTCAAAAACTTATTCCTAATTAATAAAATTGTATAAATCTTTACCACACAAAAAGACGTTTCATTTAGATTCCAGCCAGTTTGTTTACTTAATGCTTTATGCATAATATATGTTTACAGTTATTGACTTTTTTTGCTGAGAATCCCACATTGTACTGAATATACAATATTGAATAAAGCCACTATTATTATATTATTATTGTTATTATTATTATTATTATTATTAGTATTAGTAGTAGTAGTAGTAGTAGTAGTAGCAATAGATCGAGCACATTAAAGGAAGATGAAAATTAGCTCAGAAAACAAATAGAATTATTATCTAGTCTAGAGTGGAAATAAATACCAATCACATCAAATATAATGGTAGAGATATACACACAATGATTAATTGTCAGACATTTTCTATAAAATCTGATGTAAACAATTTAAGCATAATTATGTTTCATGTTAGCCAATAGTAATTCTGAAAAATATGACTGTCGCATTTTTAAGAAAGCAATCCGAATAAGCATATGTGCATATCGATAGTAATTGGCTTTAGAAGGTTCATAATAGTGACAACGTGTAATATTGTATAAATGCCAAAAAATAATGCAACAAAGAAAAGGTGTTACAGCTGATCATAGATGTGAATGTGATTTGGCAGAAAACATAAAGCTACGAGACAATCAAGAGATAATTAAAATCAAAAAATGAGTTGAAAAGATCTTAAACATTCACCTTTGATTTCAGTAAGTTTTCTATAGATATGAAATGAATATGTTAGTAGACTAATGTAATATCAGTCTGCTCATTTTAAAACTTCCTTCACTTATCACAATAACTGACATCACACATACAAGATATTCAAAAACGTCTGAAGTCAGGCCGACTATTTTTGGTCATCGTATGATTTTTATGTTTTATTTTCAGTGCAACTATCGACAATTACAACCCGATTCATGAAACTGCCAATGATATCAGTAATCTAAATGCTCAGTTTTCTCCGTTAGAACACAACATGCACCAACCAAATCACACTTGACGGGGAAACTTTGGAAGATGGAAAAAACCTTTACACATCTGGACAGCATCATTGATGAGCACGGTAGATCTAATGCAGATGTGGAGGCACCAATAGGCAAAGCAAGGACAGCATATCTACAACTGAAGAACATCTGGAACCAAAAACAGACATCAATCAACACCAAAGTCAATACAAATGACAAGACAGTTCTACTGTATGGGTCGGAGAATTGGAGAACTACGAAAACCATCATCCAGAAGATACAAGTGTTTATTAACAGTTGTCTACAAAAAATACTTCGGAAACGTTGACTAGACACCATCAGCAACAACCTACTGAGGGAGAGAACAAACTAGATTCTACCTGAGGAAAGAATTTGGAAGAGACGCTGTAGGTGGATAGGACACACATTGAAGAAAGCACCCAACTGCGTCACAAGACAAGCTCTCACATGGAATCTTTAAGGCCAGAGGAAAAGTGAGAGACCAAAGGACACATTAAGCCGAGAAATGGGGTCAGACATTAGAAGAATGAACAACAATCGGACAGAACTAGAAAGGCCCATGAGAGAGCAGGGTGGAAAATGCTGGTCGACGGTTTATGTTCTACGAGGGGTAACAAGAGTAAGTAAGCAGATGCTCACTTTGAATCTTCTGATTCGGTGACACAATCAATTGGGAAATAATTGGTTACAACAGAATCAGTGTTCGACAGAAACTGAAAGATGAGTAGTTATCGGCTCTTATTTAATCTATGATTAAAATGTAAAGTATCTGATAGAAGAAACATGGAAATAGTGAGAGGAAAATGTAAAACTTTGGATTATTCAAGAAGAATTAATCATATCTTTAAATTTGTAGTTCAAAAACATTAAGAAGGGCTCGGTTACTGTTCATTGTGTAGAGTAAAACAGGGATAGTAATTAGCAGCATGAATCAGCAAAACACACTTTTTTCATTAACGATTGGTTTATACATTGTGTTACTAGATATAAATCATTAAATAGTGTTGTAAGAGATATACAGGAAGCAAATAAAAAACCACGAATAAAATCATGCTTAATACACATACCCATGAATCGTTGCCTTCCTGATATTTCTAGTATGTAAAAAAATAGTACACGAACGTGTGAACTACCAAAAAGCATATTTACAATCGACTATTTGAATAACACCATTTTAAGAATGGCTAATATAAACTTATCAATTTATAAGATAATCACTTGACGTCATATTTCTCGACTCGTAATTTATTAGTGCATATCCTCACTACGGTCAGTGATGTGGAAAATAGCCCAAATACGAATGGTAATGGGTGATTTAGTTGACTTTTTTATAGTTGATGGTTACAAGAGAAATTATTCAAAATTATATGGTGTGATCCTGAAGATAAGCCACCAGGAGTGTGAATTTTACGGAGGTAACAGAGGAAAACCTTAAAGGTTCAAGATCCAAAATTATTATTAGAACAAATTTCTTTTTGAACTTTTGGGTAAAGACAGTGATTCCAAAACCCATTTTCTTAAACTGATGAACAGATTTTTTGGCTTAAATTTCAGTCATACGTTATATCGCGAAGTTAAGGTCTAAAGAAATGCAATTAAGCATCAAAATTAAATTTTTAATCTTGACTGTGAGCTATAGACATTATGTAATTAAAATTATTATTTTTTCAAAATTTAGTGAGTGGATCTAGATCAAACAGAAAGATCAGACTACTGAGTGATTCGAAGAATTCCCTAAACAACATTTTAAATAAGAACAGAAGAGATTTCATGGGTCATTTTTGTTGATCGTGATTTCTATAGAGAAATCAGGATTCATTGAAATACGACTGTTAATTTTCTTTTCCTTGATTTTCTCTAATATTTCCATAAGTTAGTGAAAAGTTTGGTGAAGCTTACATTGTTCTTAGTGTTTTAAGCTTCATGAAATTACACATACTCATCCTTATCATAGCAAAACTAGTTCATTTTATCGCCAATAACTGGAGTGTCCTAGGAAAATATGTACTATACACTTTGATTTTTCTCAACTAACAAGTGTTGAAAATAGTAGATCTACTCAATAAACATTTTACAGAACTTCATATGGATATATTTATACTTACTGGAAGTCAGTTTATAAACAAAGGTATTTTTAAACCATATGCAATCAAACAGAATTCGAAAATTACTTCCAATAAAATAACCTCAAAAATTTAATCAGTAGACAACAGTATAACATTTTTAGTGTACAAACTAATTCGTATATATATATATATATATATACGCTTTCTGCTTACTTGAAATAATGGATGGAAATACAATTCATCTGCAGTAGGACGAAAACATGTCAAAGGTTGAATACATGCACTGATGACTTCACGTAAAGACGGATTTGATACCATTTGCATGATGTCAGGTCCCTGCCCAGACATAGTTTTAGCTGCTACTTGTAAAACTGTTTCACACTCATCATAAGGTGTACGATTTGTCATCACTTCTAACATTAACATACCAAAAGCGTAAATATCGACTTTTTCATCATATTTCTCATCAAAAATCTCTGGTGCCATAAAACCTAATGTGCCTAAAAAATTTAAAATTAACAGGATCGGTAGAAATTGAATTGGCAAGTAAATAAAAGTACACAAACATAGAATTAGTCAGTGCCAAGTTTCTCTGATCGCTTATGTATTAAACTGAGCACATACAAGAATGATACAACCTAAAGATGTGATTTATATACTTCATATGCCTTACAATATAACTATATGTTCTAAAACCGATTATATCAGTAAGTATTTACTTTTTATAAGCTTGCATGAATAAAATAAACCCAAATATATTGTCAGCTCGGCAAATAAATGACTTTTATGCACTGTAAAATGACATATTCAGAATTTGATAGAACTAGCTAATTTACCTGTTCTCATCAAATCTTTAGATTTGATCATTAAGGTACTGTCTTCATACTATTTGTCTGAATTTGCCATACAGTTTAATTAGCTTACACATTTCGAGGGTGAGAGTCGCATCCCAAACATGTTTGCATTGTTGCTTAGGGTAGTCAGAAGACTCTGAATTTTGTCAGCGCCTTCACCGAGTAGAAATATCTCATCGGCATATTCTATCTAGGTCAATAAGTGATCTTCCTGGTAGAAGGTACACCCCTGAAAAATCTGACGAGGACAATATTAACTCCAAAAGGATGTTTACAATAAAACTTCCAACACCTATCTGCTTGTAAAATCAGAACAACTATCAGGTGCTATTAGTGTGCCACTTTAGTGTTTATTTTCATTTTTGTAGGTCATCACTTAAGAGCTTTAATAATGCTATGAACAATCCACATCTTTACTTTGGCTCATTAGAGCTCTCAGAGATCTAGGATGGGTACACGAGCATCATTTCATTTGGCACAATCTTGATCATAAATAGACTGGATTTTTCCTCAGTCATCCTAAAAATCCTCTTCGAATCGATCACGACGAGGCCTTCCTGATCTACGAATGACCTCCCCATTAGTAAATGTTTTGGTTTCGTTAGTATTAGGTTTGCATTTTTAAGGACTGTAGACTGGGGCAAAATCAGTAAATTGAAGTAGTATGCTATTGTTAGTGTGGATTTTTATCCTACAATTCAATGTATGAAGCACAATATAAAAAATCTTGATGTTACTACAAAGCTTTACAACCAACAACACAATTTTCGGCTAGAAAAATTATTCTAAGTCTCAATGCTTCTCAAACGACCTCCTAGTATCAGTATGATCTAATATGGCTCAGTTGGGTGTTCAATATTATAGATTAGGAGTTTGAAGGACAAAGCAATGTTTGAAGATGTCAATAGATAAACTAAATGCAGCAATATAAAACGGTCGAGTGGAAACACACTACAAGGCTGAATAACGGATACAAGTAACTACATGGATCGAAATCAACGACAATATCGATAGTCAGCATAGACCTAGTCTTACAAAAGGATAACAAGCTTATGTACAAAATATTGAAAGAATAAACATTATTGAATTGTTAATTGGAAAATAACCAACTGGGCAATTCGGATCTCATAGGTTACTGAAACATTAATGAAATAAAGACTGAATGAAAAAGCTCACCCCTTATCTGGTATAACAAACCCTGATCATCACGCCAATCTAGTTATAGGATAAGGTACATGGTTGAACTGCACACCTGAATTTGTGTAAATAAAGACTGGTTTAGATTACTTACTCAGCACTTTTTACCCTTACATGTTTTACCCAAAAGGTTTGTAGAGGTTTTTTAACTTCAACGTAATTTACAATATATTTGTCTTAACCAGACAACTATAGAAATAAAACAGAATATTCGACTTAAATATTACTTTTTTGAATAATCATTTCAGGATTTTTATCACCAGTAAAATCTCAAATGTAACAGAGTTAAGAAAATTATATTAAGTCACCAGTGCTAAAAACCAGTCAATCACAAGGAAGCTGTAGTACAGCTCATTACTTACCCAACATAGTTTTTCTTCCACTGTTGCTCACATGAGTTGCCAAACCAAAATCTCCAACCTTAACGTTTAAATATTCTTCGTCTGATGCGCCATACAAAAAGCAGTTATCAGCTTTTAAATCTCTGTGGAGAATAGGAGGTTGAATTTTATGATGCATATAACGTAAAGCATCGAGAATCTGATGCCACCAGCGTGTAATAAGAGGAAATTTAAGGATGCATTGACCATCTAAGAAGTTCTTTCTGATTACGCTAGTAATATTTTAAAAATGAATCAGTGAAATTTAAATGAATACCTTTTTAGAGTCCCTTCGCCCATCAATTCTTGAACAATTACGACTCCCTTTTCTTCAATTTGATTGTTTGGATCTTCCATATCAATCCACTCTCTGAAAACATCAAAACATCTGACTATGTGTGGATGGTTCATCTTCAACATAATCTCTGTTTCTCTGAACATTGCTTGACGCTTTTCTTTAGTATCAACATGCTCACGCTACATGATAAAAATAAAAGGTTTAACTTACTTTGAATTCGCACCATGCAACATTTCTGGCTTCAACACTATCATATCCACGGTAAACAAATTTATACCCACCCTCACCAATCTGTTAAGAAATTTAGAGATTCCGAGTTATGAGTACCTTGAGATTATGCTTTATCCAACGACCGCATTTCGATTTTGCTGATACTTTTTGTTTGGCTTCTTGTTCCGCTTGATACTTTTTTAACATTTCCTCCTCTTTTTTCTTTTCGCGCTCTTTTTTTCGTTCTTCTTTTGTTTTCTTGCGGTCAGCGGAAGCAGCAGAAGCTTGCGGATCAATCAACTGGCCGCAATTCACAGTGCCAACTGATTCCCCAGATACAGGAACACACGAAGTATTTATTTGTGATGATAAATCTTCATCATCTGATTCAACCTCCACATTTTGCTTTGGATCAACAATTTTGACCTTTTTTGTGGTTAATCGAGAGCCACTATCCCTTCGAAAAGCTGACCGGCTCAGTGAATCTTCATCTTCCATCTTATTGATAGATGTTTCCACGGCAACAGAATCAGTGCCCGAAGGAAATTCAGCAGTCTGTTCATTCTTTGAAACCTGTTGTTGTATTGGTGCGTTCATTTATTACTATAACAAAACAATTACACTATACAGACTAAAACAGAAGTCATTTGAAATGCATCAGAGTATACTTGAGTTTTTCCCATTAATATAAAAATCTTAAATCGACAAAGACATCCATAGGTTCGAACAAACAGAACCCAAGAGCTAAAAGGACAGATAAATTAGCACATGAAAAACAGTAAAATAAATTCAAAAGTACTACCGCTGCTTGGAGTTCACAACTAAAAGCTTAGTGATCGTATAACAATCACCAGTACAAAAGGTTACAAGACCCATAGAACACTATTAGATAACGTTTAATCCGAACTTGTCGCGAAATGTTGTTAGAGTTCATTAGCTGTATTTCAATGCTGCTAAACGCTGAATTCCTCTATCTAAAAAGCTATGCATAGAGCCACTAACCCCCTTTCTCCAAAAAAAGTCGAGTACATATGAGTTTTTTACTACAGTAAGGGAATGAACACAAGATTAATCTTCCGTCGCACGCGTCATCGCTAGTTTTTAGCTTGATCTAGGAACTAACCAAACAAACTACCGAACACTTTTGAAGATAAGCTAATCAGATAACCCATACCACCAAGATATGCTGAGCAAACATAGAGCCGAAAATAGCAAACTATTTGAGAAATCTTACTGTGAAGATGAGATGGTAATATATTACCACTGAGTAATAACCTAATCAGCAGATGAACTTCACTGAATAACAAAATATGTGTCTGTAGATGTCGCAGTTGCTTATCAATATATCAGATGACATTAGAATCTAGTGATTGTAGTCAGTAGTCACCATCTTTGGCACCACGTACCATTGTTTGGAATTTGTATTTGAGGATCAACGGATTATTATGGCAGGAATTAGAGGCCACTACTGGTTCATCAGAGTAAAATTTGGCGGTGGGAATTTATATTTCATGCTTACTTTCCAGTTGTATAGTGAAACCCCACGATAGGACAGACAGGTACAGAAGTCGCAGGCAAGAGGACATCGAGGTATGGAAAACGAGCATAGCTGAGTAAATAGGAGTATTCTGGTCCTCCTAATCTCATAACAGTTTATAGCCTATAGTTGCGAGGTGGACTTGTTGTTACTTAAATACTTAAATATCCAATCTCAAATGGGTTGACCTTACAAACGAACTTCGGAATTAGGACGAGACGAAGTCAAAAGATTGACAATTGGGAGTAGTCATGAGAGCGACTGCATATATGCACGCAATCGATACTTCCCGGTTTTCGAAGCATAATATTGTAGTGATTAGAATTGTACACCAAGGAGACTTGTTTAACCAATAAATTTTTTCATGTCTACTACTATTTGTTGCATCGAACCTGACAAGTCAAGAGAAGTTCGACAAATGTATTGATAGCATACACAAGAAATGTGAAAAGATAGTCGCGCATTTATCTCAGAATGGTAGAAAATCTGGATGACAATATTTTGAAAGTGCTTAGGTTATTTATATTGAAATAAGATAAAAATGGTTGGTCCGGAACGATTTAAAAAGATAGTAATTTGGGAGAAAAACCAAGAGCTGAGAAGTTTGCCAAATGATATCAAAATCTGCTAGAGAAAGTGACATCTGAGGCACATTTAAACCAAAGAAAGTCAAGTAAGGAGTAACCTTGGAGATTACTTTGTAAACTAAGATACCCAACTTCTTAGCCCATACTTAACAAATTTTATCGTGAAGTGGGACTTTTCAGAGAGCCTAATTTACAAAGGCGGAAACTGTAAGGTTGATTAAATACTTAGGCTCATCGTTATGAATTTTCTGATAACATTAATTATGGACTACCACACATTTAACACAACTACTACGAAAGCCTGGTAATTTTTGTGGGGACGCGTTTATGGGCTAAAAGAGCGAGAAATCCGTATAAGGTGCATTATTAATGATTCGGCTCGCTTGTTTTGATAAAGCATTTCAGACGTGGGTGTTTACAAGCATATCGAATTTACAGTCGTTTTGTGTCAAAGCCATATCGACGTTCGAATATAACTATACTCATCGAGTAGATAGCTAATTAAACGAGCTCAGCTGCGAGGGGTGAAAATGATACAGCGACAATCCATAGTCATCGACTATTTGTCTAAGCCACGTCCATAGACGCAGGCTTTCTGTTTAAGACCCTCGAAACAGTTGAAAAGGTTGAGTGGCTGATCAGGATGATTCGGCTGCAATCATATTTCCACCATAAATTTTAAGTATTATTACCCGTTAAATACTTTTAATGTTAGTTGTTCTTTGTTTTTAAACCGTTTTAAATAAATCAGGTGAATTCAAACACAAATTTCTTACTTTTAAACCCCTGAAGACACCTTATGTTAGAAAACGAAAGGTATGTGTTGGTCCTATTCTGGTAGGTTGTCGCCAGTATTCATTAAGTAGAGATCACTTTGCAAGAATTTTCAGAGCCCAACACTGCTTAATGAATAATTTCTTCTACTTCGAAGACCTTGTGACTAGGGACGTATAAGAGATCAGTCAAAATTGAGGACAAAACAAATGTACAGACATTATCTAGCGAGCACTCTATCCAAAAGTTCTCGCTACACTGACCAGCCCCCTTTTCTGCTAACGTCTTTAACCGTTGTGTCCCTCAAGAGGAAACGTCATATTTCCAACCGATGGTAAACTGAAAAAAGAACTTAACAGTTATTTCCTCTCTAAGTTGATGCGTAGGAAATTTGCCAACCCATATATCCACAAAATAAAACTCCAACTTACAAGCACTAAATAAATCGTGGTTAAGCACAAGTACAGACTATTATTTGACTGCGTCTTTATAGTCAAAATTGGAAGTCAAATCAATATCATTTTATATTTTGCAACCCAACCAGCCACTAAGAAAAACAAATTCAATGTAAGAAACACATATGACAAGAACTCTTTTGACTTATTTACACATCATTTTTATCATTATCACTGGGTCTTATTTGGCATATAATTCTTGATACTACCAATATTTCACATGATCCTGTTAAATTCACATAAATTGTTGCCTGCTGCTGTAAAAGTTTTCTGCGCAAAATACTTCGGATCCGTCGGCCAGACACCATCAGTAACAACATACTGTGGGAGAGAAGAAACGAGGCTTTAGCTGATGAGAAAATTAGGTAAAAGAGTTGGAGGTGGATAGGACAATCATTGCAGAAATCGCCCAACTACATACTGGGGTAAGCCATGGTCGGGAAACCTCAATGGCAAAGAAAGGAAGGCGTACCATAGTAGTTGAGAGTGCTGACTCCCTCGCTGATCTTGAGAGTCTCATCAGTGCTGATGGCCCGTTGACTTACGAAATCTCGCCACGAATTCAGAAGGCTCGATTGGCTTTAGCTACCTTGCATCATTTATGAGCCACACTATTGAGCAACTACAGAGAGCCTAGCGCTGGTTACGAAAGACGTTTATACACTTCTTATTTTCATATTTACTTAAGCGGTCGTGTGAGTCACCTCACTTATTCTTGTTAATTTTATTTGTACTTTATAGCTCATGGATGTCCTCTGAGTTTGACCAGAACTCTTCTAACATTTTTGGTACTACTAGCGTGACATGCTTGCAGTGTCAAATCGATCCACAAAGCCAGTATCTGTGCAAGTCTTCAATACAGATGCTCACCCCATTAGTCTTATCGCACACACCCTAACTAAAGGCATTCAGTCGAGCACCCGCATCAGGTCACGTTTAGGTAACTGGTGCTTTGCTTTCCATCCAACAGTTGTTCATTCTAGAGCACTTTCTGTTTGATACATCGACCATCTTCCAGTCATGTCTTTGAAACTCTTACTTCGTTCTGGCTTGACTGGATTTAACACTGTCGACACGAACAGTGACCGTGGCTTACTTATTGTTGAGCCTTGCATGATCCATTTCATTAAACCATACACTGATGATTACTATACTTAATGTTTAATAAATATTTTACACATCTAAATATTGTGATCCTGCTACTAGAATCTTTCACACACTTATCAGTTGTACCGCTTATGTCGGACAACAATTGGCCTTCGAAATACTCGAGCTATCACACCCTCCGCTTTGCATGTCATGCAGTTCTAGTTTGACTTTATCGAAGCCTGCCTCTTCTGTGAACAAACCGCATGCCCGAGCACAGTGTGACTAACCCAGGTGCACGAATTCCTGTGGTACTCAAAGGACTACTGAGCGGGTTTTACAGGTATTTCACAACTAGTGTGTTGAATACAGATGCAAACTGTCGGAAACAGAACCCTTAGCATGAAAGTCTGTTGCATCAAGGGAAAGATTTGGTCGATCTAAAATAAAGTTACTGACCTCTGCAACACTACCTCTCGCAATCTAAGCACGCAGCATGGTCGAATACTGTATAGAAATCCTTAAAGAGGCTAGATGCGAAAAAATCTATTTCTAGACCTCAAGAAGCAGAAGACCCTATTCTCTTTCGATTCCACAACGCTTGTGGTAAGTCTCGCAAAGACTGTAAGGAGGCCTATAGCTGTCCCCGATTTCAAAACTTTCACCATAACAAACTTTTCTAGAAACTTTACCACCGGCACGTGTTGACATCAACAGAAGCCGGTCGACAGAACCGTCTGCTATGCACTACTGATGTGATGGTGAGGGTTTGCTTTCTTAATAACACCGACGCGGACATCAGTGTCCCTTGCTCAAGTTCTAACGGTCGTTCCCAAGATACAGTCAACAATTAGCAAGTGGCAATAGAAAACCGATTGTCGCTTGCTATCAAAGATACGTTTGTCGTAACCCGGTTTATGCAAAACCATTCACTATACTGTGTTGTTGCAGACATATCACTGCTAGTCATTTCCATAGACCCAGTTCAAGACCATTACCTCGTGGTAGGCCCGAGTAAACGAAGGTTAGTGGAAGGAAACAAAGTACAGCTCTATCGCGTCGTTGTACGTTATACACGGTAAAAACTAAACATATAGTCGACCACTCCCTGAATCGGGTAACGGCAATGTTTGCCTAGCTGAGGACCATTGGCAACTTATCTCTCAGACTATAATTATCGTTCAGCGGTGCTGTACATCCGAGGTAGAACAACCAGCTTTAAATTTGCGGCTGCATCCCAAAATAGACTTTGCTGCAGCGCACAAGCAAATTCCTATAGCTACGGCAAAATTCCTCAAATGGTTCTCAATAATCATTCTAGACATTAAGAAGTATTGTTTATGACTTCTGTCGGAGAAATCTTGTTAAAACTTCCCAAAAATCAATCCGTGCCGTATTTAAATGTTTCGTATTAGACGACTGCATCTCGAACATGTTTGCATTGTTGCTTAAGGTAGTCGTAAGACTGCACTCTGTCAGCGTCTTAACCAAACAGAACTATGTCATCGACATAATTGTGATGCTTAGAAGTATATGAATGAAGAATTAAAGATCTGCACAAACGAATGTATTGTATTTAGAATTCGAAATCAAGCATTTCACAACAACAAGAAGTTACTAGTTCATTCAAACACCACATCCGCCACAGCTTAAATTGGAATGTATATGTCTGTAATCAATTGTACGTCTTCTTCTCAAATTCATCCTGTGTCTGTCCGACAGTGTATTGGATAAAGGCTCTGTATTATCTAGAATGCTCTCATTAGTATTAGAATTAACAACCGGAATCGGAACAGACTCACCTGGTTCCTGGAATTGTATTTGATCAACATGTCGATTGTGTGTACTTAAGTCATTGATATCTTGAAGTCGCACCATAGATTTCCCAACATTCTTCAGAACAATCCCCGTGGATGGTCGAACATCATTGCCACGATAATGTGTAACTTCTGCAGACTCCAAACATCTCATATTCGACCGAAGAATTCTTCCTTTTAATAGTTTTGATGGAGTCTCTTTCGTCACTGAATGTCTGGCATTTCTATATTGCAGTAGAAAGGTATCTACTCCCCTCTCCAGCTCATTAAATGTTGAGGCGGCAATAGAATCAATAGCAGTTTTCATACCTCCACTGCACTTAGCACACGTGGCTATGGAATCTTTAAGTAAAGCATCAGAATTTTCTTTAGAAACTAGGAGAGACAACTCCACTTTAAGCCTTTTCAAATTCTTTAAGCCCAGTATTGACAGTCCCGTTTCGCTAACTAAGAATTCACATGGTATGTATGAGGAATTATCATCTCTTATTAGCAATTCACAACATCCTCGTATAGGCAGTCTGTGTCCAGTAATCCCCAATATTGATACATCAGTGGGTCGTATCACAACGTTCGGATCTAACGATTTCAAATTCTTGAATGAAATAATGGACTCTATACTGCCTGTGTCCACAATAAAGTCATGAAATGAACCAAGCGATGTATATAGTCGCTTTTGAATATGAGCATTACCTTTCGAAATGGTAGTTAAAGATAAATGATCATTAGGATCAGCTGAATTATTGGAATCTAAATTACAAGCTTTAGTACTACTTGAGGCAAAATGAACAGTAGCTTTGCATACTGCTTGAATGTGTCCTATCTTACCACATCTAAAACATTTAGCATTACGAAATGTACAATAATAACGAGAATGAAGTTTTCCACATGATAAACATTTGCCAAACTTGGTCTCACCTTTTTGATTTCCTTTGTAATTCTTTTTTGAGACACCGTTCATTTTTACACGAGAATAGGAACCTCTGTTAAACGAACACAATTTTGATTGACCCTGAGATTGCTTTTCATCATGACAACTAATCAAAGTATTGGAAATCTTCATCGACTGAATATCAAGTTCATTCAACGCCTCGTAGTTAATGCACGCAGTTCTAACATCTTGAAAGGAACAGTTTGACATTCTTAACAGCTCTCTTTCCAAACTAGGTATGTTAATTCCTGCAATTAATCGGTCTCTCAGCTGCACATGAAGTTGATCACCGAAATTACATTTGACAGCCTGTTTCTGCAATTCAAGAATGAATTCCTTAACATTTTGGTCATTTTGACGAATCATCTTATGAAATTTCGCTCTTTCACGGCATTCAAAACCAGGGCACTTTACATGATTCAATAATAACTCCTTAAGCATTGCATAGGGAAGTGAAATAGGTTTTTCTGGATATGCCAAAGTTTTTAATAAGCTGTACGCTTCTTTTCCGATGAATGTTAGGAAATGAGCCACAATTTTATCATCTTTGACATCTTTCCTGGTCATACTCCAGATTTCAAACCTTTCCAAATAATCTTCAAAAGCTTCAGAAGTAGAATGAATATCTAGCTGTTCCATTACAAGTTCCATCGCGACGCCACTGTGATGCTTAGAAGTATATGAATGAAGAATTAAAGATCTGCACAAACGAATGTATTGTATTTAGAATTCGAAATCAAGCATTTCACAACAACAAGAAGTTACTAGTTCATTCAAACACCACAATAATCTCAGTCAAAAAGCGAGCCTCATGGTAAAAGTTCGACCCCTGGAACGTCAGGTGATGAAAGCGTCGTATCAAAAAGCACGTCAATGATAAAGAAACAGTAAGTAAAAGGAAGTGTTGAATGAAATACAGCACGCCCAGACATAGCGCACATTCGTATTATTAATATTTTACCGGCTTTAATTCTAACTAACTCCGCCAGTAGAACCTTAGGGGCTACTGCCGGTCCCAAGCCCGGATAAAGGAGGAGGGTTAGACATGGGGTTGGCGACCCCATTCCGTTGAAATCTCACTTGCCAAAAAAACGCTAACCAGAAAAAATAATTCAAACCATTTTAACTCTGCCCTGGGAGTTACAGGAAGAATTATGACGTCGCGTGATGAAAGCCGAGTTCCCTCGGAAGTCACAGGGCCAATGCCTCTTCTGACAACCAGAGCAACCATTCTTTTAGGTACATGGAACGT